CTCAGATGTTTCAGAGAGATTTAGGGTCACGGTTTATAGAAGCTCTCAAATGTACTTGGATTTACTCCCGACTATCGTTTGCTTGTCGCAATCCAACCTTCATAAAGCGCGCCAACTGTGATACTGTCTAAAACCATCTACATTCACGTCTTATAAACTTATAACCCAGCTGTGTTATCTTCTATAGTGAAAATTTTATCTTTCGTAACAATTTGATCTTGCCTGTAAACTGGTATGCCTCATGTAATTAACTGTTGTTTGAGAATAAATTAATATTATTATTATGTAAATTAAGTACAAAAGCACCAAAGTACCGTCATCAAGGGACCGAGAAATGGCCGCAGCACTCAAAAACCTTTAGCAACTGGTAAAGTACTGGATTGAATTTTGATGCTAAATCAAATAGTTCATTGTTACTTTTTTAACAGGCTCCCAATGAAAATAGTGAACTACCTCGGAAAGCTACTTATAGGGACAAGAATTTTCATTGTGAGCAAGGTACGATTCGCAATTTTGCTCCAAAATATGGCGTTAAGATTAACCACGCGTTTAAGAATATGTCTTAATTGTTAACGGGATAATAGCTTTTTGATTGTTAGTCTGTGTTGTCGAAACCGACTTCAAAACTCCCGACGCTCCTCGTAAAACTGAGGCTTCGTAATTATCTCATTGCCTATCTTTGAATAGGATCTAGTAATCAACAAACCTAGTGATCTACATTAGTAAACCGTGTTCCCACAGTCTTCAGCATGTATTGTTTTACTGTTAATGCTTCATTGAATAATACTGGTGTCAGACTGATGAAGAATGTTACTGGTAAATGAGAGCCAGATTGAAACAAGATGATATCGTACCAAAAAATAATATTCTCTGAAGCAATTAACACTAATAATCATAATTATTAATATTGTCGGTATGGTAGAATCCAGAAATCTTTAATTTTGGCGATTAGGCTGGTGTTTTGGACTGTACATGCTTTCAGTGTCATATTAGAAATAGATTGCTTTTCACTTCCTCTGTAAAATCTCATCAGTTAAGATTCTCCCAAGGTTCTGGTCCATCTCCATAATTATTAATTTCTCTTAAGCGAAAGATGAAAAATATGGGGGAATCTTACTCACATGTAGTCCTGTGAGACCGGAGAAATGTCACGTGGCGCTAGCCAAATCACACGCCAGTTGGATCACTGATTATCAAACAGTTTAACAATCCTCGTCAAGTTCAAGGGCAGCCGATGCGCATCAGTTAATTGAACGTCATGGATTGACCCATGCGGTGGTGATCGCAACTTCTCCCTTGTACCTAGTTTTATTATTACATTTCTGTAATAAACTCCCTTGTGTCATACGGTCATCAAAGTAGCCATAGTACCTGGGTACGACGAAAGGGTAATTCACGTTATGTACTAACCGTGAAGTGTGACTACGACATTATCCGGTTGGTCACACCATTCCCGTCTAGCTCGAATAAACTCCTAACCTTTTTAAACAGATCATCTGCGCTGGTGATCGACAGACCTTAGGCAACACACTAAAGCTGAAGATATGATAATATTATGTGAAGAAAGATAAGTTGTACCATGTCTGTGAGGCTGAACCGTGCCATCTGACTAAATTCACTTAGTTCTGCCCGCCTTCACCATCGTTGATGGACCAAGTCGAGATATATTTGCTGGCGATCTCGTGGTATCGAAAGGATACCGAGATCGTGCCAGGATACAAGCTTGGTTACAGAACGTAACCGAATTCGCGCGAAGTCACAATCAGAAAGTGTAAGAATAGGAATGGAAGCACAATATAGTTGTCATTAGCACAGTCAAACAAAAGCACATTAAAACAAGCACTGGTACAGTTGGTTATAATAATAATTGCTTTTATTAAACCAGTCGTGTTCTCGTGATAAATGTGAGTCACTACAGTGTATTTATTGCATCGAAGCATACCTGGTCGACTTTTACTTGATTTATTTAGTTAATGTTTGAGAATCCTTTAACATATCCTGTTTTTTTGTCACCGTTCTAGTTGATTTTCAAGATGGCTAGATCTGCTCTTAAATGTGGACAACCATATTGCTTATTTTCCGTGGAGGAAGGGATGCAATGTGATTAGTATAATAAGTGGTTCCATAAGATGTGCACCCGATTAAGCCCCACTGCATATAAAATGTGCTCAAAACCCAACTCTCATTGGCTTTGTAGTTTTTGTTGCTCGAGCTAAACATTGCTTATCCAGGTAGCAATTATTCTCCTGGTGTTGGCTAATAAGAAGGTTGATGAGGGCTGTACTGGCAACATTTGTACTGATGGGAAAGATTGCGTTAGTGTCGTAAGTGCTGTCACGGCGCAAGCCAGACATCTAACTGTGCAACCCGCTATTAAACCGTCTACCCCGAAACAATCAATGAGTGACACCTCATTAGATATTGGTGGCCATGTTGCTACAGCAGCAACCGGTGACCCAGATAAAACAATTACTGTCCCGAGTGGTTCTAATGTGGATGCTACGGCTGATGGAATATGGATGATACGGAAACGCAGAAGGGTAGGAAAGGCAGCTAAAACTAATGGCCGTTTAATTGATAAGTCCTTGGTGGACTCTCAGACCACTCCGCCAAAGTCCCACAGTAAAGCTACGTCTAACGTTGTTGTGAGTCACTCGCTCGACTCCCAGGACTCTGTTACAATAAAAACTAATCGTAAGATACCAGTAGTTAAAATACAAGATCTTGCGTCACGGTCGAAAGCTGTGAACACAGTTTCAAACGAAGCTAAACCCCTCCCTAGTTTAATTATTTGGAATCTAGGAGTCGAAAGATAACGACCCTGCTAGAAGACATGCATATGACCTGCAGTTAGTGGAGTCTGTGGTAAGGAATGTACTACCTGAAGAGGTTTCAGAGGTACATATTACAAAAGTAATACGACTTGGTAAATGGGTTGGAGGCGAGACCCAACCAAGAAGGATCCTGAAGCTGGTTCTCGGGAGTTTCGAAGAAAGAGACATATTATTGAAAAGCGCACTAAAAACTCGTGCCTCAAATATCCGTATTCGACCAGATTGGCCGCTTGAGGATCGAATCAAGTGGAAGAATGCTCTTACGGAGTTGGGGACTCGCAAATAAAATGGTGAAAATAACCTTACCATTAAGGGTTTTCGGGTAGTCAGGTCTTGGAAGCCAATGCTTTCGAGGCCTGTATGGGTAGAATGATTGATTGCCAAAACACCTTAAGTGTGTGCTACACGAACGCTCGTAGTCTTAGAAATAAAACGTCCGAGCTAAGTCTGATGGTGGAAGAATTATGTCCCGATATAATCGTTGTTACAGAAACTTGGTTCACAGTAGATATGGACTGTTCTCCTTTCATTGCAGGTTATATCTGTATTAGAAGTGATAGAGTTTCAAGTTGCAAAGGGGGAGATATAATATTATACGTTAGGGATCATTTTCGTATACAATCAACCATATAGGAGGCTCATATCAGTGGCACATGTGAGGTTGCATGTTGTAAGATTAAATCTAGAAATGGGTTAGTGACTATAGGGGTAATATACCATAGTCCGTTATGTCTTGCTGACGACTTTATCCTAGGACACATCTGTTCTTGGAGTATGGCAGAATGTTGTCTTATCATTGGGGTCTTCAACGCACCGCATATCAACTGGATAGAGCTTACAGCTGCAGGTAGTGGTTTCGATAGCGACCTTTTATCTACTGTTATTCAGTGTGCACTTGTACAATGTATCACAAAACCGACACATATTGATTTCAATCATGATCCGTCACTGCTGGACCTCGCCCTCACCCACCACTGTGAGGATGTCTTTGATATTCAGCACCTTCCCCCACTGGTTAACAGTGATCACGTTGTAATTCACTTTAAGTTTAGGACACATGGTATACAATTCGTATCTGCTCCACCCCGTCCCAATATCTGGCTAGTCAATATTCCGGAAATCAGAAACTGTGCTATCTCGACTGATTGGTCGGTCGACGCGGATGGATTGATAGATGAATGGAATAAGTTTAAGGCTACCATCTTAGGCCCTCTGTTCTTCCTTCTTTACGTTAATGAGTTACCGCTGTTACTTACGTCGTCAACATTATTGTTTGCGGATGATGTAAAAATCTGGAGAACAATAAAAAGTGCGGCTGATCATATGGATCTTCAGGCTGACTTAGACAATTTAGTTAGATGGGCTCGAGAGTGGGGCTTAGAAATCAATGCTAGGAAGAGTGTACTAATGCACATCGGTCACGGTAATAGTTACCGTTACACTATTGAGGGTAAACCTCTTCCTTGCGTTCAAGAGCATAAAGGCTTAGAAGTAGTATTAAGTCATGATTTAAAAACAACTACGCATTGCAAAGCAGCCGCTGTCAAAGGTTCTCGTGCGTTATGTTCACTTCGCCAAGCGTTCAAATCTTTTGACGAGTAAACGTTTCGAATTTTATATCCCATATATGTTAGACCACATTTAGAGTACTGTATCCAAGCAGCTAGCCCGTGTCTGGTAAAGGATACTAACTCCCTTGAGCATGTCCAGCGTGTGGGAAAGAAATTAGTGAAGGGTCTTTCTAGACTCCCTAACGATGAGCGTTTAAAACGCCCAAATCTTTTCCCCTTGTCGTATCATAGGACACGAGGTGACCTTATACTGGCGTTTCGTATCTTTAATTATGATTTGGGTGTTAATGTCTTATCTTTTTGCTCCCTCCAGTACTAATAATCTCCGAGGTCATAGCAAGAAGGTTCATAAACCACGATCTAATAAACTTAAAGTGGGGTCCCGTTTTTCTCATCGAGTAGTCAATGATTGGGACGCCTTACCCGAACAAGTGGTATCAGTCCCATCAGTGGTTACTTTCAAGGAGAAGCTGGACCTTCACTGGAAAGCAATGTGTCAGGATTAATACAGGTTCATCAACCTACTATCCTTATTACTGAAGACTGAAGACTGATCATTGTTATTTTCTTTCTTTTAGTTCCTCTTAATTGATCTGCTGGCACGGCGGTCGGTACTTAGTGAAATGCTACGGTGCCTTTACGACAGTGTGGTGGTCGTTGTGTTTTTCTCACTGGTTGCAAGATCTTCGGAAACTGAAAGTATGTGAACCTATTGTAACTAATTTCTCCATAGTAAAATGTGATACAAAGACAGAAAAAAACTTTTGTCTGCGGTACTTCTCATACGCAGCGACTTTTAAAGATGCTCAGATTGAATGCAAACAACATAACCTCTCTCTAGTTACTTTATCTACAAAATCGCAGCAAGAATTTCTGAGGGAGTTTCAGACAAATGTAAGCTATCATGCTTTTTGATGGAGTACCGTTGTAAGACCACCCAATCTTCCTATTTTGAGGAAATCTTGGGAAAATGGCACAAAATCCCCCCGGAATTGGGGGACCATCCTAAGCTTTGGGAAAGACTCCCCATTGTCATTGGAATTTGTGTAAAATCTCGAAATTTCTCCAAAATCGGGAGTTTGGGTACGGATATAAAGATAAACAGTGATTCTCCATTTCCCTACTGTCAAGTTAGGTACATCAGACCTTTCAATCAAATTCGTCTTATATGTGCTATACGTATTGGGACTGACTACTGTGTTGGCAAATACATAGATAAGCAAGTTGCCAGGTATTTTGTAGTTGATTCGTGCAAATTATTTTCTTATGATGGAGGGACAGCTCAGTAGCACAAAATAGATAAACAGTTTAGTTATCTTGATCTTGATTATTACCCTGAAAATGTTCAGACAAGACTGCTGGACGGGACTTTGGAATTATTTGAATTTCGACCCCTGCAATTAGTTCAAATATAATTTCCACAAATAATGTTTTTTACACCCGGTGCCCACATTCTGTCAAACTGTTCGTTCAATTATTGACGAATATCAACATAAAAAGTAGAGAAGTTGAGAAAATCAAGGGTTTTCTACAGTACTTTGTTTTCCAAACTGTAAACCAGGTTTGGAGTAGTATAGCTTTTTACTCAGTACGATTTCCGTTGTGGATAGTCTTGGAATTCAACATACAACAGGGGTCATTATAGTGAATCGATTTATAGTGCCCACCTAAAATAGACATTAATTTTCAAGTGCGGCTCAGACTTTTAAAAATTCCAGGGTGTTCATCTCATGACGTTGGCTCGTTTCTTTTCTAAAAAACATTTTAATGTTTGAAGCATATTTTCACACCCTATACTCACTCATTTGTAATTAACCGTTCTCAAAAATATGTCGGTGCAGATATGGTGTTTTGCACCATTTTGCAATGTTTCTTTGTACATCTCATCTCATCCGAGCTTAAAAACCGAGAACTGCTTCATCAAACGCAAAAATGATCTGATCGGCCAAAGTTTTGCTTTTGCAGTAAGCTAGAGATTTCTTTCGTTGTGTAGTGGATGTTTATTCCTCCTGATGGTAGTCTTTAAGCTTAGTTTTTAACCTGTAAATCAATACGTAATCAAATACCAAAAAACGTAAGGCCGTAATACCGTACTCTAATTGATTTTTCTGTCATACGCAACTGCAGGAGATCAAGAGGTGTTTCGATAGTGAATATTTGCCGACAACTTATCGTTGCATCTCCCGACTTGAATGCGTCCCAGTTTGATCTCTAAATTTACAGACGTAGTTTCTAGATAAAAAAATAGTACCAAATGTTCTCTTAAACATAATAAATCTTTTGCTAGCCAAAAACTCTCAGGTATATAGTGCGTCAATCTTGTCGAAGTGAACTCGAGAAATTTCGTACTTTGGATTCCTACTTTGTCTCTTGACTCTGGTTGGTTAAACGCTAATTAGGCTTACAGTGAGACGATTGGTCTGCTGTTAATAAACCAGAATCTGAAGCACTGTTGGGAATTTGAACCTCACTACCTGATTATGTTTCAGTAGTTTTGTGGTTCCACTTGCCCACGCAGTAATATCTAAGTCAACACCGCCCGTCGCTACTACCGATTGAATGGTTTAGTGAGGTCGTTGGATTGGTGTCGTTGTAGTGGCGTTGCCGCTCGACTGATGCTAAGATGACTATTTAGAGGAAGTAAAAGTCGTAACAAGGTTTCCGTAGGTGAACCTGCAGAAGGATCATTATCATAACCCAAAAATATATAATGATGCATGCACCTGGCTTCGTGCTGGACTGCATGTACCCTGGCTTGGTGGTTATTACCCTAGGCTCCAGTGGTTGAATATGGCATGCACATGGCTTCGTGCTGGACTGCATGTACCCTGACTTGGTGGTTATTACACTAGGCTCCAGTAGTTGAATATGGCATGCACCTGGCTTCGTGCTGGACTGCATGTACCCTGACTTGGTGGTTATTACCCTAAGCTCCAGTGGTCTAATTAATTGTTTACATATAATACGATAAAAGTGATTAATTAATCAATAAAATAATTCTATTCATAAGCCATTATATAACGAATACGCTGTAGTTCCCTAACGTTTGTGGTTTTTGATGACTTGATTAGGTTTGGTTTTAGACCTGATATTTACCAGACGAATAAGAGAAGTGTTATTGAATATCGTTATCATTGTTTATCCACTTATAGTTTGATCCTCCAATCATCGCATCATGGATTGGCTTATTTACTGAAAACGGTCATTTGCGCTGGTCATCTGGATATTCTGCAGTGCCACAAATTTTTATTTCTGGCAGGCCGGGAAGTGTCGAAGGATGTGCTATGTCTAATATATGTAAGTTACAATACCTTAGTCTCACACCATATCATATTTAAAACTGAATTTGTATCCTGATTTGCTGAAATCTTAAAGTTGTTAATTATTTCGCAATTCGAGTATAGTGTTAATACTAAAAATACTTATTCAATTTTAGCCTCAGGAGGTCTTTTTACATGGGAGTTTATTCCATGTGATACAAAACTAAGTTTTGTGTGTGGCAACATTCCTCAAATATCCTATCGACATCCATTTTCTAATCAGAGCACTCTTGTCTGCCCTCACGGTTACAAACTGTTCGATAAAAACTGCTACTTGGTGAGTTAATCATTTCGGTTTTAGTCTTATTGACTGGTAACAATAATATTTTAATTTGTGCAAAACGTTTATAGCTGTATTAGTGTAATATTAGTGATTTTTAATATATCCCGGAGAATCCTCGAGTTTCATTTTCTTGCTTGTTGATCCAAAAGAAGTACATAGCATTGTAATTATCTAGAGTTGCATTAAAAATAACCTCAGTTTATGGCCACGTGTATACAGCCACTGCTGCACGTCTTACTGCCTTCTCGCGGGGGTAGGGCGTTGTTTACGAAATTGAGAGGATCCTGAGGGAACAAATAGCGTATGAACCAATCGTTGGTCACCGGCTACCATGGGACTGCATTTTCTTACGATGCTCCACTGCCTTGTGGATTAGACCTCTAGGTCACAGGCTCCCGATGTGCCCCCCTTAGAAAACCACCTGCTTCGGTCTGGGCACCCGTGCAGTATCACAGCCCACACACAAATAAGATGAAATAACAATCAATACTGGAAGTAGGTATCATAATAAGAAAAGCGGTAATCTTCCGTAACTGTCCGCTAGCTCTGATTGGTTTGGAAATAGCCAATCAGCTCTAATCTTTGTACCGCTAACACCTCCCCTTCGAGCAGATTCGTAGAGTCCATCTGCAATCGCGTGACTGGTCTGTGCTTCCGATTTGTCCACCTGAGCAATAAAGAAGTGGTATCACCCTTTGTTCCCACAGAAACTAGCCTGTTTGATTGATGGGTTTTAATTTCAAAGGTGTCCAGCAAAACATCAAAATGTATTCTATGTCGGGTGTCATTGCTGATAATCGAAGTTGCTTTTAGTTGGTTAGCGTGACACCCAAACTTCTGAGCCAACTGACAACTCGTAAACCACACTTCCTTTCTTTTGTACGTTTCGACCAGCTGCCTTTGTCGAATGTTTGCCACGATAGTCCATAGCAAGTACTTTTTGACCCACAGTAAACAATCATCTTTGTACCCCATGTATATGTAGATCAAATTGCTTCTCTAGCAATCTGTTTCGTCGAGAATCAACAGCTAGCGTCGGACGAACGGCATTATAATGTGTTCGTACTTTTCTGCCGATTAAAGCTTCTGCCAATGAGACCCTGTTAATTGTCTGAGGATTTAGTGTAGACGATAATCAGGAACCCCTCTAAAATTTCTCCTGTGGTCCCCTTCCCATTTGGTTTTTTCAGAGCATTTTTAAATGTACTAGCAAAACCTTCTACTTGGAGATTGGATTGGGGATGGGATGGAGGTGTCCGGACATGACTGATTCCGTTCTACCGACAAAGTTTTGTGTTTCATTATCGCAAACTACCAATTCTGGAATCCCGAAACGACTGAATAGTTGACGTAGTTTTGTGTGTGGCATGCAGTTGGATGTTCCGTGAGGAAAATTTCTCGCCACTTGCTGTATGTATCAATTACTGAAAGGAAAGTTTGTGCAATTGTTCAAGCACTTCTGGATTCAGATACTTTGGGATTAGAACAACCGTGGATACACTGATCATTGGATTACACGTTCTGTAGTATTTCTCTGTTATTTTTCTTTTTTCCCCGTTCTTTTACGAAGTAGTAAAGTTAATCTCTAAGTATTTTATTTGAACTTGGTTAATTGAACTAAAGTGATGCATTTCTGCAATCCCCTTAGAAACTGCAGTTGTGAGTATTAGACTTCGATCCACACAATTTATGACACTTCTCGAACCAGTGTAAGTAAAGTAGCGTGTAAGACGGCAACTCTTAATGGCTAGAATTCGAGTTTCTTAACCAAAAAATCTCTATTTAAACTTTTTCGTGAATTACAAATCATGGTTTGCAAGTCACTAGTTATAAGCATTTAACTAACGAGATTATCAAAAAACAATGCTTAGATCAATGATACCTCGTGTTATATTAACTTATAGCTAAGAGAAGTTCCGTCCAGCAGATTAACGTGGGACAAAGCGGACGAACAGTGTAAAGCCTCAAATACTTTTGCATCTCTCGCTACTGTTACATCACCTATGGAACAAGGTAGGTTTAATCCTAATATTTTCTTCAGTTATTTATTTGCCAGTTTTCGTTAATTTAGTTACAGTATGTTATATGTTTAGCTTTTAACGAATAAAAATGATATGATAAACTGTGTTCGTAGTTAGATTTTAGGAATCATTATTTAATTCTTAATAATGGTTCAAAGAAATTCATTCTGTAATAAAAACCACATTTCAAATTCACTAACACATCATCTGTCAACTAATAAAGCTGTCTTTATTTTGTTATATGAAAAACATTCACGTATTTTATAATCCGGTGCATTGCTTTTATTTTGTTTTTCACGAAAAAAACAGATGCTATCTCTGTATTAATTGCCCGTTCTTCCCATCCGGTATGGATCGGTATGTATCTTGATCAAAGTGAACGTAAATGGATTCGTGGTGATGTTATCAACTATACAAATTGGTATCCGAAACAAATACTCGACACTGAAAAGGTGAACTATTTTGTGTTCTGTTAACTAGTCAATATTTAACGTATGAGTTGTCATCTAAGGAAAGAAATGAATTTCAACCAATTAACTGCGCATTTCCAGGTGTAGCTGAAGTTAAATACTTGGGACGTTCGATTTTCAATCGCTAGGTCACAGGTTCGAACCCCATTCTATCTACTTCGGTTTAGATAACCAACCACACAGTATCACTAGCTCTCACGCACTTAGAGGATTGCTTAAAACCGGTTACGTGAATTTGTGCCTAGTGAATGGGTTAACAAGAAAGAAATTTACTAGATCATGTGTGTAACCATCATGATCCATGGTTGGAGCGGTTGAGTGATATGACTCGAAATCATTACACGGCACAAATACAGGTGTTCTTTTCCTTCCTCTAAGTCCTGGATATAATGTTTTTCCATTTTTTAGTGCTTCAACATCGTTAATTTATTTCCTTCATCTTTAGCCTATCGTTTTGTCAACTTCCATTCTCTTGGTATCCTGATATGAGCTGTGGCAACTTGGAACGATATGTGCTTTCACGTGTTTTCGATGACCACTTGGCTATTGTTTTTTAAATTTTATGAAATATAACGTCGGTGATTTAGTGCTATTGTCATTATTCTTGAACTGTTATTCTCTTGCCAAACGTGAAAAAATGGATTTTTATTTGATAATTGGATTTGTTCGAGATGAATTTGTTTGTGGAAGACTATGGTTATTCCAAGACAAGCATCATGTGCATGGTAAACTTAATTCTACTTGATTAGCGTAGAAAGAACACCTGGCTAATAGCTAATTTGAATAAGTAAATTATTTATTCATGAATCATCTATTACAAACGTTTCTTGATATAATGAATCTGTAAATTATATTTTATTTCGATTACGATATTCGCATATAAACGAATATCAGTCAGTCTTGAGTACTGTTAAAGATATGAGGGCGGTTATCACTTCCTGGTTGCCCACACCATGGAAGTGTTCTTCTAGAGGTATGTGAAAAGGAAACTGGGTTAGAGTTGATCCTGAGAGCGTGACCGCAGTGCCCAGGGGACAACTACTTGAGGCTAGTCACACACGATCTTCTGGTGGGTAATTTTCGTGTTAGCTCCGTAATTGTTAAGACCGTATCGCCGCAGACGAAAATCCGCGGGATAAGGCGAGGCGTGCATTTGTAAGGTTGACCTTTTCTAACCACACTCCTCCTTGTGGAAAGGTAACATCGCTGTATTGCTGGTTGTCTCAGGAAAACACCTTAGCGCCGTCGCACCTCTGTACAGTAAGCAGTACAACTCCGCCCTCGGACTTTGGATTTACTTCTATTAGTATTACCGCTCTTCAACCGACATGTCTGGCATGGTAGGACCTTGAGGAACAATTGTTCCAACCAGTACAGTCCGATTGGTTCATCACGATAGGTAAGCCTGGCCACCACGTCAAGGTAGCATTATGGGTTGGGGGCTACCACTAAAGAAACTGCTTACAACAAATATGTACTACATCCTGTTTTTCAGTAGATTGTGTTTATTTATATATTTATTTATTTGAACACATAAATATTGGTACAAGAGGGCACCAAATATATATGCGCCACACAAAACAATGAGAATTCGAAGAGAATAAAAGAACAATAACGAATAGATTAGTGTAAGGTAGTATAATAATATTAATAGTAATAATGGGGGAAACGGAAAGATACAGTCAGAGAAGAAACAACCATTTTTTATGAAGAAAATAAAAGAAGGTTACGGCAGGATCGTCACTGGCTTCTATTCTGAGCCATATCTGATAACGTCTATAGCCACTGTGTTGCATCATCTCTCGGACCCCAGCCAGGGAGTCGTGAAGGACCAACACAAGCCAGCCCTTTGCAGCTTTCTTTTATACCACGACACCATGTCATACACTGACCACCTCTCCGCTTTTTACAACCAGTCCTAGAGTCTGAAAATACTGCACGACGTGGAATTCTCTGGGACGACATTCGTAGAACATGTCCAAGCCACCGAAGTCGGTGTTTCAAGATGGTGACATCAATCGGATTATCGTCACTCGGCCCGAACACACGATGCCGAACCTCTGCATTACTGACATGATGTTGCCATGGGATGTCAGCAATCCTTCGGAGACAGAGATGATCGAACACATAGAGTCTTCTAACGTCCTCAACTCGGGGAAGCCAGGTTTCACAAGCATAGAGCAAAACTGCTCTCACCGACGCATTGTAGTTCGGACCTTTTACAGCCAGACTGACATCACGAAGGCGCCAAAGGTGGCCCAGATTGGCATAAGCATCTCTGGCTTTCACTATACGTGCATTGATCTCATCACTCACGCCACCACCAGCACTTATGCAGCTACCTAGATACACGAACTTCCCGACTACTTCTATCTGCTCACCAGAATCCTGCCAGTCTTGTAAAAGTACTTTGCACTTCGAAGGTGCAAAGCTGATACCATAACTACGGACACTAATTGCTAACTGATTAAGTGTGGATTGCATGGCTTTGGGATTATCGCTCAGTAAGACAATGTCATCCGCATACTCAAGGTCGAGAAGTCTTTCTCCAGGCAACAGATCCACACTGTCATTACTTGCATCCATCAGGGCTGTTTCCAGAATGTCATCGATGGCAAAGTTGAAGAGGAATGGTGAGATTGGGCAACCCTGTCTAACCCCACTGCTCGAATGGAACAATGGAGAAAGGTGGTTGTATGCCCTCACTCTGCCTGAGGTGTTTGTATATAGGGCTTTTAGGATGTTAATAAAATTCTCAGGCACACCCTTCTTCAATAGACAATCACAAAGAACAGCCCTGTCCAACGAATCGAAGGCAGCCGTGATGTCAAGAAACACTACGATTGTTGGCCTGTGATAAGTATGGCGGTGTTCTAACATTTGGCGGAGGGTGAAGATATGATCAATACATCCTCGACGAGAACGAAAACCAACCTGCTCCTCGCGAGTCAATCTTTCTCGGGTTTTGAACAACCTACGAAGTACGACGGAAGCCAATAGCTTGGACGCAATCGGAAGTAGACTTATCCCCCGATAGTTGTTACAGGAACGACGTGAACCCTTTTTAAAGATAGGGACGACTATCGACTCATTCCATGACGTTGGTACACTCTCTAGTTCCCAAACCTTTGTAAACAACGTCGTCAATTCCTTAGTTAAAAAGTCACCACCATCTTTAAAAATAGCCGAAGGTAAGTCATCTGGGCCAGGTAATTTGTAGCGCTTCAAGAGTTGGAGTTCCTTGCAGACTTCCTCCTCATTCGGTGGATCAGTCGTCACCGGCTATCGAGGGCAGAACAGTGAATGGCATCCCGTCATCCTCGCAGATTGTTTCGCTCACACCAGACTTCTTGCTGCCAGTGGCTTGGTTGAGTTGGAAGAGCTTCCGGTAGTTACCAGATGCAACTGCTGTTTCCAGCTCATTAGCACGCTCCGACCACCAGGCTTTTCGGTCCTTACGCAAGCTTTGCCCGATTTCCTTACGTAACAGTCGTCGTTTGTGGTCAAACTCACGGTCACCCGGAGTAGACCGACGGGCTTCAATGAGTTGTAAGGAACCTGAAGAAACCCAGTGCTTATAAGTGGGACGTTTCGCAAACCCACAACTGACTGTACCCACCATTTTCATGGCGTCATGCAATTGCAACCAACGCTCATCTCGATTCGATACTTACTAGCAACATAAGTTGCAACCAGCTTGCTAACATCAATCCGTTTATGGCGGTCACTTCGTTGTCCACTGAAAAGTAAGTAAGATTGGCGCAGACCAAAGCATGGTCAGAGTCCAGATAGGTACTCCAAAAGAAGCGGCAGTCTTGTATACAACCACGCCAGCGGTAGCTGATCGCGATGTGATCAATCTGAGTCCAGGCTTGAGATGCAGAGGGAGGACGCCAGGTGGCACATCGGCGATGACTGTGCCGGAAGTTAGTGCTAGCCAGAAACATTTTGTGGTCTGTGGAAAGTTGCAGTAGACGGTCCCCATTATCTGACCTGCGATCAACGAGTCCCTATCGGCCACCTAAACGACTCTCTTCTGTGGATCAGTCGTCACCGGCCATGGAGGGCGGGGCAATCTGACCGATGTTGCCCGAGCAGCTGGCCAGTTGAACTGCCCTTCGAAGAATTCTGCCCATCGTCCAAGACGTCGATGGATGTTGGTGATTGACATCCCGTCATCCTTACAGATTGTTTCACTCACACCAGACTTCGTGTTGCCAGTGGCTTGGATGAGTTGGAAGAGCTTCCGGTAGTTACCAGATGCAACTGCTGTTTCCAGCTCATTAGCACGCTCCGACCACCAGGCCTTTCGGTCCTTACGCAAGCTTTGCCCGATTTTCTTACGTAACAGTCGTCGTTTGTGGTCAAACTCACGGTCACCCGGAGTAGACCGACGGGCTTCGATGAGTTGTACGGAGCCTGAAGAAACCCGGTGCAATCTGTCAGGACATAGACGGAGATGACGAAAAGACATCGTTTCTCATGACGATTTCTTCTCACTTTGATGAAACTCTCTAATCCAACAGCACATAACTGACTGTTAATGGGGATCTAATCGATTAGTGCTGCCTCAGCTCTAGCGCTTAGTGCGACACCAACGCCAGCAAGACCAGACGAAGATGCCACAGGGTCCCCGGATAAACGCACGTAAAACAAGCTTTTCGAAGCGACAGATGGAGAGCGAATTTGTAGTACTTCACCAGAGTCTTGGAAACGGGTCTCGGATAGACGGCAGACATCGATATTAAGAATTTCCGAAGACATAGCCAGCCCTATCTGTTGTCCAACCTGTATAAGTGTGCGAACGTTGAAGGCAGCCAGTTTGAATGTTTCACGTCGTTTTCGAAAAACTGCTTCAGTACTCGTATTCGGTGGTAGCATACAATTTTCAACCGGACAGTGACCCGAGAACGTTTAGATAGAGCCGAATTTCCACCACAGGCGAGCTGCTGTATAAGTCGGAAAATAAGTATACACAGAGTGAGAATGAAAAAGGGTGAATAAATGTCGTAGTAAATAATGATAATAATAATAGTAATAATAACAATAGTAATAATAATGTGAGTCATTTGATTGCTATTCGGAGCAAGAAGAATATGTTCCATAAATAGACTGTTCATCATTTTTTGTGTGTGGGCTGTGATACTGCACGGGTGCCCAGACCGAAGCAGGTGGTTTTCTTAGGGGGTCACACCCCGAGCCTTTGACCTAAAGGTCTGACCCACAAGGCAGTGGAGATGCAGTCCCATGGTAGCGAGTGACCAACAATTGATTCATGCGCCGTTTGTTCCCTCAGGATACTGGAGCTCATGTGCACCATTGGTTCGGGATCCGGTTAATGCACCTGAACATTCGTTTTTCGTCCTCTGATTTTTGTAGACAACACTCCCGCCACGAGAAGGCAGTGAGTAGGACTTCCCTGGCAGAGGCTGTATACGCGTGGCCGTGTGAGAGTATTTGGAAAGGGAGAGCGGACTCTCCCCACTCTCGGTCGTACCAGGGCATTTTGGGGCAGTGAAACTGTTAAATTTATTATGCATATCAACAGTACACAAACATAGACGGCTTGAGTAGACAAAAAAATAAATACATATATGGCTAGTATCAGAATGGGTTTTGTTGAGACTGTAACTAATGATCTGAGTATAAGTTAAGAACGGTAAATCTTACAATAATTATCTATAGATCAAAATGAAGCTTATAATAAGATGAATATAAATATACAAAATCTAATTACTGAATAGTTATACCATAAGAATATATAGATAATATTGGTCCATTAATAGGTCTCAGAAGTTACTCGTAATTTAATCTTCGCTAGGATATAACACCTTTCATCTTCAGAAGTATTTACAATGTTTTGTGCGTTAATGAAGAAACAAGAGGTGATTAGTTTGTAGTACAGCGCCTCAAAATGATAGCTGGCCGTGTTTGGTTAGCACACTCATTTGGATTCAGTCCTAGGAACCGTATAAATCGTCACCAACTGAGTGTATTTTGGAATGGGATAGTTTATGCTAACTATGCTCTTGTATAAAACTGACCTTTTAATAGCAAATTTAAAACATTCTTCATATTTCTTTCTTATTAATTAAGCGATTATGTACAATGATGCATCAGCGTCCATTGCATCTTGGACAATGGGAAGAAGTTGATTGCTCATCCTCTTTAAATTATATCTGTCAGGTCGCAGCTAAACGTAAGTTTCTCTTTTTTTCAACGTTATGTTTGGATGGTGTAATAAGAAGTTAAAGATTGCCAGAACTATGTGATGTATTAGCACAATATATTTCGAACATTCTGATCACACATATACTTGTTAGGAACATTAATATATGAGAAATTAAAACGTCAATTGGACAAGTGAAAAGTAAGCGGAAACAAAGATAATAATCATGAAAACAATGTTAACAACAATCTGAAACTCATTACACTGGATAATAAACTGATATTATCAGGATATTTGAGGGTGAGAACAAACTGTTTTGTGAATACATAAAGGGGTTTTGAATTTTCGTATGCATAAGGCTTTAATAAACCTTAGTGTACGTCCTTCGACTCTTGCATAACACCACAAAACTCGAATTAAGATCAATCGGAATGTATTACACTAGTGTATCACATAGTTCTGATAATCTTCGTCTTCTTATTACACTATATAAAATGAACTAATTGCTTTAAATTTCTAAAAAGAAGACTCATACAACGTTATCTGTTCACAAGCGTTAATTGTTCGCCAGCTTATTGTGTAATCTGATTGTCCTGACTTCGTTTATATATATATATATATATATATATATATATATATATATATATATATGCCCTCTTACTCAGTGTTATGTTTACACCCTCCAGTCCAGGGGTTTTGTGGAGATTATAGTACTGTGTGCTGTTCGGCTCCGTAAGAACTCGGAAGGATAGAGACGCAAGTTTTTATATTTTCGTCGTTTCTGCCTACATTCCCACTGACTGCAGCCCGAATGAAGTGAAGGATGACCTTTACAGAAAGCTTTCATAACTTCAAAAAGCAATTCTTTCAGACATAGTACACGTAGCAGGTGACTTTACTGCCCAAGTAGGTATCGTAAACCAAACAGAAAGATATTTAGATGGGTATTTTGGTATTCCGGCTCAGCGAACAGATAATGGTGATCGTCTGCTGCAACTGTGCTCAGACAATCGTTTATTTTTAACCAGCACTAATTTTAATTATAAGGAGAGACATCGTCTAACATGGCGACCGCCTGCACCAAACCAACGATGGACTCACATAGACCATATTGCCATCGGTCATCGTTGGAGAGGCTCGATAGAAGAGTCTCGCTCGTTCTGGAATACCCGCTTAGACCCGATCATGCTCCAATACGAGCGCGCGTTTACTTACGTCTCTCTGGACGCAGGAAAACCACATTAAGAAGACCCATTAGACTTGAACTTAGCACGAGGAAGCCAAAAGTAGATTCCATCAACAATTGAGGTAACACTTAGGTAGTTCTGAATACGAAACTGACCCAGATGTTGCTTGGAAAGATGTACGAACAGCTGTGGAAACAGCAGTGATATATATTAATAATTTAAACCATAGGGTCACGAAAACCCAACGGATTTCTACTAAGTTTATTGCACTAATCGATTCTCGTAAACATTCCATTCCATGCTCTGAACACGATGAAGAGCGAAAACGAACCAGATCTTGGTTAACCAAAAGTCTAAAGAACGATCGTGAGCAGTGGTGGGCAACCCTCAATTCCAATTGAAGTTCAAAAAGCCATAGCTAGTCTGAAACGAGGAAGAGCATCGGGTCCAGATGGATTGGCTCCAGAGGTCTTTAGTCATGGTGGTCCTATTTTAGCGACTAGGTTGACTGATATTTTAGCTAAAATCTTGGAGTTGAACGTCATCCCATCTGACTGGTCGCAATCACTGATTGTTCCAATATATAAGAAAGTGTCAAAATCATCCTGTGATAACCATAGAGGGATTAGTTTAATTAACATAGCATCTAAAATATTAGCCCCAATAATTATTGGACGCCTAACAAAGACTCGTGAACTGCAAACATGAGAAAATCAGGCTGACTTCATACCTGGTCTTGGCTGCATCGACCACATGTTCACCATTCGTCAGGTCTTAGAACACAGGCATGCTTGTCGACATCAGACAACGATAGTTTATTTTACTTAAAAACAGCATTTGACTCTCTAGACCGAGAGATTCTGTGGCATTTTCTGTCATTGAAAGGCGTAACTCAGAAGTACATAAACCTTGTGAAGGCTTTTTACTCGAACACTACTAGTGGAGTCATAGCTTATGGCGAATTGTCATCTGATTTTGCAACTTCAAGTAGTGTCCCAACAAGTCTGTCCACTATCTCCATTTTTGTTTGATTTCATCATAGACCTACTGATGAAAATAACGCTCTCATTGACTGAATGTTCAGGAATTGATCTTTTTCCAGGAGGTCCACTTGTCGACTTAAAATACACAGATGGTATAGTCCTGTTTAGTGAAGAAGCTCATAAAATTCAGTCTTTTGGTAGCACTAGCAACAGTGCCAGAATGTTTGGGATGAGCTTCTCCCCCTCTAAATGCAAGCTGCTGCTTCAGGACTGGCCTGCGTCAACACCTGAACTAAGAATAGGGAGTGAAGTAGTCGAATGCGTTGACAACTTCACTTATCTTGGAAGTCTGATCAGCCCTAATGGGTTGGTGTCTGACGAAATCTCAGCACGGATTCGAAAAGCTCGTTTGGCTTTTGCCAACATACGGCACCTATGGCAAAGGTGAGATGTCCGTCTATCAATAAAAAGACGAGTACACTGCGCGGCAGTCCGTTCTGTTTTAATTTACGGCAGCGAAACGTGGTCATTAAGAGTAGAAGATAATCGTAAGCTACTAGTATTTGATCACAGATGCCTTAGAAATATTGCTCGCACCTGCTGGGATAACCGGGTAAGTAATAGTGACGTTAGACGCAGGGTATTAGGGAATGATGGTAAATCAGTCGATGAGGATGTGAATGTTCATTGACTGAGACGTTTAGGCCACGTGCTACGTATGGCTGAACATAGATTACCACGACGCGCAATGCTGACTAGTGTAGGGGCAGCCAAACCAGAACGTGGCATCTGGTCTTAGCCATGTTGGTAGATGCAGACTACTTGGTTAGGGTCTGCGCGACTATCGTAACCAATGGTTGGAGACTATGGGTGACATGGCTCAGAGTCGATTACAATGGCGTAGGTGTATACACTCTTTGTCTTCCCTTAAACTGTGAGATTAAAATGGCTTTATATCTTTCTACGAACTGCTTCTTTCTCCCTGTATCATATCCTTCTATGAAATCTTTCTTTTATATTTTACTACCATCAAGTAACTACTATGAATTTAATGTTCATCTTGTTGTGCTAATGAGGTGTGGCAACTTGGGCCGACGTTTATATGTACCTGGTCCTACGTTGTAGCTGACTGACTGGCTGACTTGGTGGTAGCCCCGAAATGCTTTCACATCGTCACGCGTATACAGGCACTGCCACAGAAGTCCTACTCACTACCTTCTCGAGACGAGGGTGTTGTTTAAATTTCAGTCCCATGGTGGCCAGTGATCAACAATCGGTTCCATATGCCATTTGTTCCCTTAGGACCCTGGAACCCATGTGCACCATTGGCTGGGAATCAGGGTTTTCCAACTCCCCTTAGTGAACCCTCCGTTTCCACTAACCCAGTTAGAGCACCTCAAGAGCTCAGTGAGTAGGACTTCTGTAACAGTGGCTGTATACGTGTGGCTATGTGAGAGCATTTCGAGTGGGGGAGCTGACTCTTCCCACCCTCGACCGTATCAGGGCATTTGGGGGATTGTTGTTCATTAACAAGTTTTGAATTATTGTTGAAGCGTAAAATGTAAAGTAGCCTATAAAGTTATTTTCAGGTCACCGACTATTATAAGATGAAGTCTTTCTAGGTTTTCCCCTTACATTATGGGATAAACCTACAGGTTAAAGGCTTGGTGGTCACCTAAGAAGACTGTCTACTTCGATTTCGATTTCCAGACAGCATCCCAGCGCACACAAATATTTATGTGGAGTTTGTTGTTTTTGATACGGAAATTTTCACCAGATTTCACGTGTATTATATAAATAACTTGGAACAAGAGCAAAATCAACGAGTTGAGTAGAAGAATGTTCGTGTTTCTATGTGCGCTTTCAGCCCATTTTGCAATTTCGATATTAAAACATAAGTTTTAAGCACTCAACGAAAGCCATCTAACAAAAGAAAATAAATTCATGTTACCTAGTTAAAATCGTTCTACTTGGTCTTTTTTTAAAATCACTATTGTAACTAATTAGCCGTGTATCACTACATTCAGTATATAGATTTTATTATTCAACTGTTTGTGTATGAATTTCAATCAGTCATAAACACAATTAACATTGAACCTTGGAAATATGTACATCAGTTCAAATTGTCACAACGAGGTCCCATATTAACAGAAAGAGTAACACTATCAATATTAGAAATTTTCACAGATTGAACTCATGAGTCAGTTGAAGCTAGACCACCATTGAAAACCTGGAAGCACTGGACGGCCGTTTCGTCCTAGTATGGGACTCCTCAGCAGTGCGCATCCACGACCCCGCACCACCCGGGGCTCGAACCCAGGGCCTACTGGCTTCGCGCGCGAGCACTTAACCATTAGACCACTGAGCCGCCATCCAACGGTGTTAATGTCTAACTTCAACCAATCCACGAAGTTGCGCCACCGTACACCATTGTCTTCAGTGAGTTCTTATCTCACAACAGACCTGGTTGAACTCCACTGGTAACGACTCCTCACTAGAACTCCAGAAGTGTCTCCTGAAGTCAGTCACTAGTGAGCAGGTGATTATTATTATTATCAGAATGTGTTTTGTGGAGATTTTTAGAAATTTTCACAGATTGAACTCATGAGTCAGTCGAAGCTAGACCACCATTGAAAACCTGGAAGCACTGGACGGCCGTTTCGTCCTAGTATGGGATGCCGGCTCAGTGGTCTAATGGTTAAGTGCTCGCGCGCGAAGCCAGTAGGTCCTGGGTTCGAGCCCCGGGTGGTGCGGGGTCGTGGATGCGCACTGCTGAGGAGTCTCATACTAGGACGAAACGGCCGTCCAGTGCTTCCAGGTTTTCAATGGTGGTCTAGCTTCAACTGACTCATGAGTTCAATCTGTGAAAATTTCTAAAAATCTCCACAAAACACATTCTGATAATAACTATCAATATTAGTCGAAACAATCGGGTACAGACTATGATTCAAGAAGAAAATATGAATTAGCAGAGTAAAATGTGTGAAATAATTTTGAAAATCACCATTTAACGGAGTACAAAAATTACATCCATCTACATCATCGCCACTACTTCTAAACTATATCACACATCTCCAATTATTGGTTGTAATAATCACAATAACCCCATCCAGATAGTCTACTTATACAAACACAGCTAAATCCAATGGTTAACTCGATCGTGAATTGATGCCACTTTTTTTTTAGCTTGACCACTCCTTTTTGTCAACCTGCTTATACACCTGTAAACACTGCCCATTCTGGTAGGCGATGATTGAACATACACATAACATGTTCTAACCATCTCAATCGTTTTGCCATTCTTACCTAGTACCTTGAGTCTAATCACAGTATTGTTGACTCAGTAATCCCCACAGACATGAACAATTCTTCAAAGGCGTTTATGATCAACTACTAGAAACCCAAAAATGAATCTATTCTCCTTCTGCAGTTTTTGTTTGCTTGATTCTTCCATAAGTAACTTACATTTTTTTTTCTATCTTTTGATATTTATTTAGCTAAAATTTCATCTGTTAGCAGCACTAGTGTGTCTACTTCATCTCTTATCCTTACTCAAGGTGCATGCAAAGCTAATTATTATGAATACAATGAACGTTGTTATCATCTTTATACTGGTAATGAAACTGAAATTTCTTCACTATGCGGTATCAAATTATCACCTTATTCTAATGACGAAACCGCTTTCATGCGTTTATTACTACAGACTACTCCTGATTTAACTGTTGATCGAGCTTGGACAGGTGTTTCACTTATGTATGACTTAAATTTAAGATCGAAGGTGAAGAAAATTCTGATTAATTGTTAATATCTAGGAATTTTCTTTACTTAATTCACGTATTTTGTAACATAAGAATTTATATTTTTATATTCATTCTTTTGGTTACTATATTGTATTTCTTTATTTTGCTACCAAAAAGTACAGGTTTGTGTACCTGGGTTATGCCATACTTTATTTGGAATTTAATTATACTAGTAGGTTACCCAAACCAAAGTACGCGAGGTCACCACTCAAGCCTACAATATATATGATTTTATTGAGTTCTCCAAGCTAGATAGTTTATTTACAGACTCTTCCTTGTCGTTCTGTACAACATTATCAGCGCTTACTTCATGGAGAAGTAACTCCCTTAGTTATACTACAAGCGTCTTAGTATCTCTATTTGCGACTGGCTGTTGTTGTAGGATTCGTTGTCTTCATTTGTCCTTGCGTCCAAGTTGGCTATTTCGTTCAATTGACCCCTGACTTTGTGGCCGACTGACCTGAATCCCGTGCTTCTAGGATCTTTCTGGCATTCTTTGCATTTCCTCAAACCAGAATTTCTTTGTTCTATAAGTCAAATTCATGTCCGTGGTTATCAACATGCATTAATGTCAGGGATAATATTCTATGTCGTTTTACCGTTATTTTGTATTTGTATATATGTTCGTGAAAGGGCTTTCACTAGCCCAATTTAGCGTTCATCACAGTTTGTACAGTTTATTGTATAAATGTTTCATTTGTACACTTCTAAATCGAGGAAGTTATAGCTATGCTAGAGAATTCGTAGAAGCCTAGCTGCCAAATTACTCGAGGTTGATCCGATCTATCAACCCGTACAATAAAGATCAGTCAACCACATTGTCACAAGTCAACTGAACAAGACAGTCAATTTGAATAGCAAGATGAATGAAGGCAGTGAAACGTACGAATGTAACCAATCACAAACAAGGATACCAAATTAAATTGTAGATTATTAGCTTAATTATTGAAACTTACTTTCCAACTATAGGATTGCAGATTCGAACATTGCTCTGGTAACTTTACTTTGAACATTTAGGTATTGTCACTCGTCCCGAGTGATAAAACTATGTGACTCAAATACAAGTGCATGAAAATGCGTCATATTACAGTGCATAACTTCTAGTAAACAGTACTTATTTACAACATATTATAAACAGATTAGATTCATGATTGTGATAAGTCTTTCCCTATCATTCCTATTACTAAGTAACTCTTACTATCATGTTTATTTTGTATTGAATTTCTTATTGTTTCAGTGGGTTTACAAAACAGAGAATAACGATTCGTATTACGCTTCAATGATACACGATTTCTATATTTTCTCGTATAAAAATGTCAATCTATCTACAAGTTCAAATAGTCGTTTTTGTGTATCAATTAATCGTGACAATACAATGATGGATGTTTTGCCTTGTTCGTTGAAACTACCATCAATTTGTGGATATCATTTGCGTAAGTTCCTAATTTATGTATCCCTTCTAGTCGACGTGTTTAATTAGATAAACGTCACTATTTATAACAGATAAAGTATGCCGTAGGTAAAGTTGAATGTCTATTCAAGCTTTTGTAAAACCTTTGATCATAATAATATCAATATAGGGGTTGTGCAGATTGTTGGATTTTTTTAAAATAACTAAGCAGTCTGCGCTAGTTAACCATTAAAAATTTAATGGCAATAGTCAGCTGATTGACGTTAGACTTTTACAATACTGAACCTTGGCTTAGTGGTCTAGATACTAGGTGTTTAATAAAGGAATACTTACTCTAACCATTCACGGTTCACTTGAACCCACTGGATCGAACACACGACGACTCTATGGCTTACTCAAAGTCCACGAGACTAGACTTTTTCTTCATCCAGTTTTAGATATATATAATTCGCCATATCATAAAACTGCAAGGTGGTTAGTTCGAATCCTAGATCCTTACAAAAACTGGTCGTCAACAGAAGCGTTAAAGATACGTTCGATTTCACTTCCAAGGTTGAACATACGAACTTATATGGAAAACGATTATATCTCTAAATGTTGCTTCCTTGTTTACTAATGTACCATTAATTCAGACTATTGACTTTGCCAACAACTACTTGGAAAACGGATCAATATTTAATTCCCGAGGTTAGCCTCAAAGAATTGCTTCCAAAAGGTGTTATGAATATCCATTTTGTCATTAATAACACATATTACAGACAAATTGATGGATTAGTGATGGGTTTACCTCTTTTGTCGTTACATTGATGATACTTTCATTATCGTCGCTCAAAACATTGGAAAAGTAGAACTTTTAGAGCTATTTAACAATAAACATTCAGCAATCAAATTTACGTGTGAAGAGGAACTTAATAATAAACTACATTTGCTTGACGTTTTGTTAAACATAAAAGAAAGTGGTTATATCTTTAGAAGTGTGTATAGGAAAAGTTCTTCAGCAAGCCAGTACACACATTTCTTGAGCTTTGCGCCCATTCATCATAAGAGAAACTTATTCAGATGTCCCGTGAATAGAGCTAAGAAGATATGCTCAGTCGATTCTATAAACAAACAACTATAGCTCATACATAATATGTTGATTGAACTGGGTTATCCATAAGGTTTCCTGAAGAAACACTTGCATGTAACAAGCAAGAAAATAGCGACATCAATTACTAGTAAGAAACCTTTCCTCCTGAAGCGGTAGTTCAACGAAGATATAGCTGGTGATTCGCTGCGGGAATAGACTAACTAGAGCGGTTAAAAAGACGTTTAATGCAAATAATCTGTCTGTCGTACTCTACCCGATCTATGGTAATTCCTCGACTAAAGGATAAGTTATCTGGTTCTATGTATATCTACGAATTCAGCTGCTCATGTGGAGAAAGCTACATTGGGTACACTGCTAGACAACTGCGTTAACGAATTAGTGAACACCTCCCTTCGTGGTTAGTAAAAGGTACTGTCAAGACAATACGCAGATCAGTTCTATCACACTTGATGGATAGCGGTCATGTGGTAGACAGAATTAAGTCATTTATCGTATTCCTACTAGTTTTTCTTATGGGGTTCGATCTCGTCTCTTACACAAGCAGAAGCTATAGGAATCTGAGTTAACAATCCGACTCTTTGTGTTAGTAAGGAATTTGCAACACATTTATCTCTCCCTTGGTCTTATTAAATGATTTTATTAATCATTATTTTACATACTCTTTGTTCGTTTATTTTTCTTCATCCCTTCCCACCTATTGTTTTTGCAAATATACGATTCATTTTTTAATTATCTGAACACCTGTTGCACAATCCTAGTTTTTACGAATGTCATTTCATCCTCTATGTTTTTTTCAAATCACTTACTTGATACCCATTATGAAACATTTCTGTAATATATTCCACTGTTATCACTGAACAATAAACTGCCTTGATTGGTTTACTAATTTCGTATATGCATATAAATATTGCTGTATATTAGAGCAATGCCTGATGAAGATCTAATCGGAAACAATATTGTTCACTTATATATGTTCTAATTCACAATATAGGAATTTTTAAAATTTCAAGCAATTGAATTAAAGTGATAGTGATTAAGATTATGTTTTACATTTAGTTTGCTTTTCCACTTATTTGATATATCTGAATTTGCCTTATATCTCGTTGATTAATCTAATAGTTGGCGAATAAGCAAGTTAAATACATTTCACGTAATCAGCAGCTATGACTTACCATAGACAATGCACACGTATAGATAGTTTGGTGCACAGAGTTGTACATATCTTCTGAGATACTACAAGCATCTATAGTTTATATGATACATTTGACTACTGATAATTAAGTCATGTACCCTCCATGGGACCTGAAAATTTCAGGATCTAGTCTATCCCTAATGGAGTCCCATACTAGTATAAAATATCTTCCCACTTCTCACTGGTACATTAAATCAATCCATGATGAATATCATCTTATAGATGTAAACCATCAAAATTAAAAGTTCTAGTTATTTATCAATGAAAGGAATGTATGAACATCTTTAAACAAAACAATCTCTAATAAATTAACTTCACTGTGCACTGCATGCATATGATACAAGTAAGTTTAAAACTTGACTGACTGATTAGTATTTATCTAAACACATGCTCGTGTCTACACTAAGTAAAATATGTATTCATCTTCAACTTTTTTTAAAAAAAAACATTCAATATATGTTTTGCATAACAATGTATATACTGTCTATGTATCAATCATGTGTATGTATATTATCAAACGTACGAGTGATGATAACTCAGTAATATAATTTATTATGACCAATAGATTAGTATCTAATTGTTTGTATTCCTAAACTCGATCATTGAGTGATAATACGTAACAGTCATCCATTCCTATTGGTGAAATTTGTCTCACACCCGAAGCAGTAAAACTCCACTAACCACAACTCATTAAAACACCCTATATTAATGATATTTGCTAATCGTTTATATCGAATATTAGTAATTGTTACTCTGTCTCATCTGTATAATACTTGACCGAGTTGTATTGATCAACTATGTGACTAAGTGACTAAGTGACTTAATAATATTACAGCGCATTTTTAGTGCCTTTTTCTTCTTCACAAGATCTAATTTCATGTTCATGTTAAATTTCAAAATACAAGATATTTTTCTTGATTCACATCCACTACATTTTTGCCTATTGTCATTTTTTTTGTTAAGTAAACCAAATCTTTCCCTAAAAGTGATTTTTTTCCCCAAAAAATTCTTTTGTATAAAGCAAATTACAAACACCCATTACCTCAAGACAGTAATAATTCCATATCATCTTGTCCTCCACATTGGATTCAGTTTGGACATAAATGTTTCTCGCCAATTCATGATACACCTCTTCCATGGTCTGCAGCGGAAAAGCATTGTTCTAATTTCGTTGACGGAAAAGCTCATTTACCATCTGTTCACAGTCCAAGTGAATTAACATTTATTAGTAAACTATACACCGAAGTGAATGTTTGGCTAGGTTTACAAATTCATCGTAAGTTTCTGCTCATTTTAAAGTAATTTTGTTTTATTTTCAGTGTAATGTTTTTTTGTTAATGTGAAATTTTGATAATGAATCAGTTTTAAGTGATGAGACTTACACCTAAAGCAATGTGTATTATAACGGGACGATTATTAAAAATGTTGAACATTTGAAACAGCCCTACTTGAAGTTTTTGTCTATATCTTTGTGGCCCTGTCATTAAAATTGATATGCTTGAATGATATTACGAGTCCACCTTACTCGGTAAACAGAACGAAGGCCAAAGATACAGTGGCGCGATAGGCTATTCTAATCCGTTGTCCTCGGCCCTGCTAACTAGATCAAGTCTTAATGAGGTGTAGAGAGTGTATTCTACAACACTCAGAAAATACGAGGTCACTCAGCACGCTAATCAAGCTTAATTATATGATGATAGAAACGCCATTACGAGAGCCACACAATAGCGTACTAAAAAAATCCGTAAATAGATGACAGTCAAGGATTTCCGATTGTGGAATATAAGCTGTAGGTCAACTAAGCGTCTCTTGGCACGAAAACATAAAATTCAAATTTTCAGAATAAAATTACAAAATTAGGACCTTGTCCAAGTGAGTTCTGGGGATCTAACGTCCTCAACAAAAATACCTAAATTATTGTATTTTTATACTCTCTAGCTTGTAAGTTTTTCCGTGATGCATAAATTTTTGTTTTATATTGTGTCTTTTTTAAGTTACTGTTTATTACTTAGTTCTCTCCCACTTATGGTGTAGTTATGCCCATATTGTAATTTCTTAATTATATTGGTGCGTGATCAAGACTTTACTCGATATTACTGTATGAGTTTCGAGTCATGAGTATGATAGAACCTAACTTCTGACTTTTCTCTCAACTCAACACGAGATGCAGAAAAAAAACTTGTTTCTCTTTTGTAATTTACTGTCAGAGTATATGTCTTTTAATGAAATGATAAGTATCAATTCACTTAAAACTGTTAAGTTAACTCAATTGATTTTTCAGTATTTAGCGTAGTGACTATTGTTGTGTTTTTCTAGTACTGAATGACTTCTATCTATCAAACTGCAAGGTGGCTTCAGTAAGTGGACATAATATACACTGTGTTGAAATGTGAAATGGTGATTAAAGGTAGTCGAAACTCGGTCGACTACTTCCAAACACAACCGAGTAATCAAAAATCATTTCATGTATGAAAGCCTTGTACACTGTCCGTGTCGATACCATTGGAGTGTGACAATTGAAATAGGTGAACTAAAGTTCTAATATATGTTCTTAATATTTCACTTTCAATCTTATTAATTATTTTAAGCTTCATTATACTTAACAGATAAAGAGTATTGACTTTTTTATTCTTCCTTAAATTCGTGTGTTTTGTTTTTACAGATGAATTTACAGAAGACAGATCATTGGCTTTGAATAAATCAAGCTTGTATTGGTCTGACGAAAGTCCTGTGGACTACTTGTCATTTGCTCTTGGTGAACCTAGTAGACATTTTTCGAATGGTGATATTGAAGGTTGTTTCATATCACATAGCCGTACACATGATTGGAACGATGTTAACTGTAACAGTCGTCATTTATACTTTTGTCAGTTATTATTGACGAATGTGTCGGCACCGTCACATGATCAGCTTCCAGGTAAATGTTGTTCTGCTTTTTAATGTTTCAATACTATGTATTTTATTGTCTTTTACATACAGGAAGGTTTTATGGTCCTTATGTTATTTCAGGGTGGAGTACTTTTGTTAATAAACTGAAAACCACCACGTAGCTAGTGGGAAGGCTGTTGTGATTTAACTAGGAAATTCGGAAACTCGTGACTGTTTGCATTATATGAAGATAACAGTCGGATTTAAAAGAAATATATGTACATATGAAGTTGATATTTCACTTATATACTTTTTATATTTATAAACAAATAGATATCAACATAAAATCTCTTGTAAACATTCATATGCTTTAATTATCACACCTTGTTAGAATGCGTAAATAGTCTATCAAAAATAAACAACTGAGTACGATCACGTAATAATCTAGAAGAAATATGCATCTTGAAAGGGTAAAAAAACACAAAACACTAATTGGTTAAAGATTTCTGCAGTGATTTGGCGTAATTACTCAATCTGGCTGACCAACGTTCATAATTAACAAATCCTCTTTGCGTAGAGTTTTGTGTTTAACGTCAATAGTACACTCGTATTATAGTCTAATCATAGTCAGGCGTTGTTGTGTAACAGACATAATCGAATTATTGCAATTTTTTCTTATTGAAGCCGTGTAGAGTAATACATATAAACGTTTTGCGCAGTATACGTAGGATGGATTGGAAACTTTTTAATATATTTTAAAATTTTCACTACCACAAATTAATATCGATTGAGGGAATTCATTCTTAGTGTTCTAGTGTGAAGCATTGACAACTGAAGTTCAAACATGTAGGGTTTGAGACATCACTACTAATTACATAGACAAGTGGTTGAACATTATCACGAATTTATTGAAACTAGAAATATAACCCATTGAACACCAATTTAATAGTCTAAAAGTTAAGCATTCCTCACAAACTGCAAATCCTAAGTCCGATCCCCTATGGCAGAATCATGGATGTCAACTGTTAAGGGATCCCTTGTCGGAACGAAACAGCTGTCCATTGCTTCCTAGTTTCTAAATGTTACCTAGCTAAAATCATACTTCGCAATATAAACTATGATATTCAACAATCTCCACCACTCCCTACACAATAATAACAATCGAAAACTTATGCTAGTCAAGTGTTGTTCATCTCAAAATAAAATAGAAATCATTTTAATTTTTGTAAATCAAATATTAATTTACGTGTAATTATTTTCATTATTGTCATTGTTTGTTATTTTTTATCATTGTTTAGAAGTCGTTAATAACGAAATATGCACAAACATATCACGTAAACCCTATTGTATACGTTATATTTCACAAATGGCTACTTTTTACGAAGCTGATTATGTTTGTCGTAATTATAACATGACACTAGCTACTGTACCTAGTGAAGAGCATCAAATGTTTATTATGAATACTCTGAAACATGTAGGTGTATTCTAGTTGCCTTTATTTTGTATTTTAATGTTAAGTCAGTAAGAGACCGGAAATGTAGGTATCGTGTTACTTAACACGCATCGGCGAAGTGTACCTTCAGTCATGAAGGAGCAAATACTTCCTGTGCGGTCCTAACCCTTCACCTCATTCAGTTTTACAGTGTGCGACGCTACCTTTGAGCTTTCATTATGATTCTTGGATATTTGATTATGACAGGTCGTTCCCATCACGAGCAGCAGGTTTCAGGTGGAGCATGATTCAAAACTTGAATAGCTGTTTCTTCACATTTTATAGAACTCAATAGTGAACAATCTTGGTCATATGTTGAATCGAATTGTCTGATCTGTTGACATCATTTGGTCATCCATTTGGAATTCAGTTTTTAGCATTTTCGATAATCAGGTTTCCAATGTTTCGATATCCAATATCATTCATCAATAGGAATTATTATTGAAAAACTTTATTCGACTTATCAAAAACTGACAAACAAGTTTATCATATATATGTTCGATGCTTATTCTGAGAGGTTTCATGAAAAATTGATAGATTAACTAACTTCAATCGATTTGCCACTGCGGATTCTTTTTTATAAATTCATTCGCCGGGCACCTAGATATGAACCACACTGTAAATGGAGTGGTGTCTTAAGGCGTTCAAGTTTCAGCCACTAAGTCTCACGTTCGAACCCAGATCCATCTACTTCTGTTTGTGAAAATAGATAGTATCATTAACTTTCGCACTTAAAGTGTGTGCCTAATATCAAAAGCATCTAGTGAATGAGTCAACTTAAAAAGTAAGAGATAATGATACTACTTGATTATTCAAACCCTAGTTACCAAAAGTCGAATGCCTTAACCATTAAATCATTCCTCTATTACGTCAAGCTAAAAACTGAGAATGAAAAAAAAACAACTTACAAACAGATTATACGTGACAGTATATGTTTTCGCATTCTAAAACTTTATTTAATCACTAACCGCTTAATGGTTAAATATATTGTTCGTATACTTTAGTTCTCTCTAAAGTTCTGGTTGTGATGGGGTATTGTTCTCTGAGCTGGATGAATTGGTCGTGAAGCTTTCACCGTTCTGCTGAACGACATCATCAGCACAAACGTCTACCTGAAATTCTGGTTGTCTTTAGAAGTTATTCAAACTCACATGTAGCCAGAAAGTACCACTTGCTCTCACACACAAAGTATGGTTCAAAACCGAAAACATCTATTATTTGGTGAGCTAGATCATTGTTTGCAGCTGATAATAGGTATTACTTTCAAACCGTTCTAAATCACTATCTCAGCTGAAGCCTATTTTAATAAATGGTATTGAGGTAATACGGATATGTCATATTGGCATGGGATTTTAAGCCGAAAACACTTTTTTAATTATTAATGTTTTATGACTCAAAAATTCAATGCCATTTTCCAAAATATATTTTAATTGTTTTTTTTAGATAAAAGATAAAGTCATTTCTTATTTTACTAATTATGTAAATAAATATAGGAAACTAGTCATAGTAATTTGTCTCAGGCTTACATTGGACTTTTCAATTCACATGATAATCTATTGTGGACATCCTCTTATGGTGCAGTGCCATTGACGTTTTGGCAATTGAGATTTCAAAATACTAAAAAGAAATGTGTTTATATCGATACTAGTAAGTGTTTTTTTCTTCTATTTTATTTCTGTTTCGGTTTAGAATATGTTCTCTTCCCTTGAAAATAAGAAACTATTGGCTTGTGAATTATTGACTTGAAAACCTTTTTACTATCTACTCCACATTAAAATGCAGGTTGATGTGCTGACTTTCCTTCCTCGGGTTAGTATCGCTCACATACACACATATTTTCTGGATTAAGTAGTGTTCTCTAGACGTATGCTTGTGGTTATTCGCAACTATAGTGACAATAACAGGAGTATGTATTTATGTGTGTGCTTCAATTAAATTACTAAAAGGAAGAAATGTTTAGACTTTCATTCGATGGCTACTTTAATTTGCATTGCTTATTAAGTAACACAAACTGTTGATAACTTGAACGTTCATACTAAGTAAAACATATTGTAGATCTGATTAATACGCTAAAAAGCTGTACATTTCCGATCTTCCTCTTGTTTCGCCCCTAAGTACCCTGGTACGACCGAGAATGGGGAGAGTCCGCTCTCCCTCTTGAAATGCTCTCACATGGCCACGCGTATATAGCCTCTGTCAGGGAAGTCCTTCTCATTGCCTTCTCGTGGCATTACTGTTGTTTACAAAGTGAAAGGACGAAAACTGAATGTTCGGCGCTTTAACCGGATTCCAAACCAATGATGCACATGGGCTCCCGTACCCTGAAGGAACAAATGCCGTATGAACCAGTCGTTGGTCACCGGCTACCATGGGAATGTATCTCCTTACGATGCTCCACTGCCTTGTGGATCAAACCTTCAGGCCTCCTAAGCAAACCACGTGCTTCGGTTTGGGCACCCGTGCAGTCTCACAGCACTCACACATATCGAATGAGATTCGTGTGGTGCATATGTATTTGTTGCCTGCTTGTACCAATATCTCTGTGTTAAAAGAAATAATTAAATAAATTGAATTTTTAACAATATCCACAAACCTTCCATGAAAGTATGGAACAATCGGCTTAAACCTCAGTGCGTATGTGCGTTTCCAATTAAGATTTTTCACCGAAGCACTTTAAAAACAATATCCAACCCAGTTCATACAAATGCAGTCAATTTTTTCCTCTCTCTCGAGTAAGGCTATAGGAAAAACAAATCCTAAAATTTAATATAATATAATTGCTTTAAATACTCATCTGGTAACGTCGTGTAATTTAATCAATGTTCTGTTTTTATTCAACAAGCTCAAATGATTTTCTGTCTTTATCATTATACATCTCTTTATTTCTTTGTACAGAAATTAATGGTTTACATACATGGGGGACTATTTCATGCTTTAAACCATTACCGTATATATGTTCAACTGACATATCATCCAAAGTTAACTTATCGTCTATCCAAAAAGCCTATGACAATATGCTGTTTTTTAAATGTCCTGAAGGTTTTATGTTGGTATCTGGAAGCTGTTTCATGGTAAGTTTATGTTACTTACGTACACATAGCTGTATTGACGTGATCTCATCTGTTATTTGGCATTTTGCTTACCTTATAACTTTCTGATTATTGTACAGAATAAAAACATCTGAAGTACTGCAATTTATCTGGAAAGCAAACAACAACAAGGATTTGAATACTATTTTGTTAAGAAATGGGCCTACCTATCTTGGAAGTCTCACTAGTCTTTGTGGATTGATTATTAAAAAAATCTCTGCACAGAAGAAGAAGCTCGTACGATTTTCACCAAATTGTACAGACTGCTACCTGTCAAGAGCTAAGTACACACCTTAACAACTCAAGGACTGTAATAATTTACATCTAGGTAGTGCTGCTTAAGCTTTCGTCTTATAAACACTCATCGTATTTTCTTTGTATACTTTAAATTTTGTCTGTCTATTTTTATCAGTTATTCATTAATTTCCATCGACGTCTTGGAAGATGGGCAGAATTCTTCGAAGGGCAGTTCAACTGGCCTGCTGCTCCGGCAACATCGGTCAGACTGTCCTGCCCTCCATGGCCGGTGACGACTGATCCACCGAATGAGGTGGAAGTCCGCAGGAAACTCCAACTTTTGAAGCGCTACAAATTACCTGGCCCAGATGACGTACCTCCGGCTCTTTATAAAGATGGTGGCGACCTTCTGATTAAGAAGCTGACTGCGTTATTTTTTCCAAAGGTCTGGGAACTAGAGAGTGTACCAATGTCATGGAATGAGTCGATAGTTGTCCCTATCTTTAAAAAGGGTTCACGTCGTTCCTGTAACAACTATCGGGGGATAAGTCTACTTCCGATTGCGTCCAAGCTATTGGCTTCCGTCGTACCTCGTAGGTTGTTCAAAACCCGAGAAAGATTGACTCGCGAGGAGCAGGTTGGTTTTCGTTCTCGTCGAGGATGTATTGATCATATCTTCACCCTCCGCCAAATGTTAGAACACCACCATACTTATCACAGGCCAACAATCGTAGTGTTTCTTGACATCACAACTGCCTTCGATTCGTTGGACAGGACTGTTCTTTGTGATTGTCTATTGAAGAAGGGTGTGCCTGAGAAGTTTATTAACATCCTAAAAGCCCTATATACAAACACCTCAGGCAGAGTGAGGGCATACAACCACCTTTCTCCATTGTTCCATTCGAGCAGTGGGGTTAGACAAGGTTGCCCAATCTCACCATTCCTCTTCAACTTTGCCATCGATGACATTCTGGAAACAGCCCTGATGGATGCAAGTAATGACAGTGTGGATCTGTTGCCTGGAGAAAGACTTCTCGACCTTGAGTATGCGGATGACATTGTCTTACTGAGCGATAATCCCAAAGCCATGCAATCCACACTTAATCAGTTAGCAATTAGTGTCCGTAGTTATGGTATCAGCTTTGCACCTTCGAAGTGCAAAGTACTTTTACAAGACTGGCAGGATTCTGGTGAGCAGATAGAAGTAGTCGGGAAGTTCGTGTATCTAGGTAGCTGCATAAGTGCTGGTGGTGGCGTGAGTGATGAGATCAATGCACGTATAGTGAAAGCCAGAGATGCTTATGCCAATCTGGGCCACCTTTGGCGCCTTCGTGATGTCAGTCTGGCTGTAAAAGGTCCGAACTACAATGCGTCGGTGAGAGCAGTTTTGCTCTATGCTTGTGAAACCTGGCTTCCCCGAGTTGAGGACGTTAGAAGACTCTATGTGTTCGATCATCTCTGTCTCCGAAGGATTGCTGACATCCCATGGCAACATCATGTCAGTAATGCAGAGGTTCGGCATCGTGTGTTCGGGCCGAGTGACGATAATCCGATTGATGTCACCATCTTGAAACACCGACTTCGGTGGCTTGGACATGTTCTACGAATGTCGTCCCAGAGAATTCCACGTCGTGCAGTATTTTCAGACTCTAGGACTGGTTGTAAAAAGCGGAGAGGTGGTCAGTGTATGACATGGTGTCGTGGTATAAAAGAAAGCTGCAAAGGGCTGGCTTGTGTTGGTCCTTCACGACTCCCTGGCTGGGGTCCGAGAGATGATGCAACACAGTGGCTATAGACGTTATCAGATATGGCTCAGAATAGAAGCCAGTGACGATCCTGCCGTAACCTTCTTTTATTTTCTTCATAAAAAATGGTTGTTTCTTCTCTGACTGTATCTTTCCGTTTCCCCCATTATTACTATTAATATTATTATACTACCTTACACTAATCTATTCGTTATTGTTCTTTTATTCTCTTCGAATTCTCATTGTTTTGTGTGGCGCATATATATTTGGTGCCCTCTTGTACCAATATTTATGTGTTCAAATAAATAAAAAAAATTCAGCTATTAATTAGTTCTTGTCATCTCGATTGACTTATTTTAACAGGTGTTTTTCAACCTACATTTCTGTTTAAATTTGTGTAACATGTCAAATTATATTTACTGTTATGTCTGATGTTTAATCATCTTAATAGCAGGAACTACCGCAGGTTTTGTTTTGATATTTTTGCTAGCTACAACTCATCCATTTAGTCAGTCATAAACACCATAGGGAATGGTACAAATGTGTATCGATTGAAATTCACACACTTCAAGACATCAGCAAAACATAAAGGGAAGTTATCAAGTGCACTAAGAAGATATTGTGTAAGATGATCCACTGTAGCTGACGTCTGGAGATTATTTTCTAGAGATCTCAATCAAAATGTTTTCTTGCTGTCAAAATTGATCTGCCAAAAAGTCATCGTCTTATAATAGTTTACTCATTCACCATGTGGGTACTTGGTTATGAGCTATACTCCTAGTGTAAGTACAAATCATATTATTCATCTGCTCAAACCAATGTACATGTAGCTTGGCTTGGACCTGGGGCTTAGTGGTTGAAAATCGGCCACTGCTTCATTTCATGTTTTCTGCGCATTAAATCACTCATTTTTTGTCTTTTTGCTCATTTAATTGCTTTTTGAATTTATAAAAACGTTCTTTTTGTCATAGTGTTTTTATCACTAAAAACTGTTCTAATGGTGTTTATCTTAAGCTTCCTACTAATTATTGTCTGTTAAGTCTGATGTTTAAACTAAATTTACTGACTTTTAATAGATAAAAGCGAATAAAAATGATGGAGTGGACTGGTTAACTGCTTCTAACTTGTGTCGAACTTTGGATGCTGATGCTCACCTAGCCACTATATCATCGAATGAACAGCAAGGTAAGCTAATGATCACATACATCTATTGTATTTCATTCGTTAACCTTCTGTTTTGTTGGTAAATAACCACAATGTGTATGCATATATTACTTGATAACTATTAATTCATATGAAATTTCATTGAATTTCGAACATGTGTGTTCATGATATACATTAAGTATTGAAAGTGTTTTCTTGCTAATTTAGATTATTTGAAGTTGCTGTTTAAATTGAAACCGTATTACTCAGATGATATTTTTCAACTGTGCTTTTGCCAAGCAACTTCGTTTACCCATCAAACCCCACTTAACACCATCTTTATTAGTCAACGTAGTAAAAGTAACTTGATGATGACAGTTCGTAGCTTTTTTCCTACTAAATAGTAAGCTGTACTTACAGGAAGAAAAGTGGTCATTTTCAACCACATATCGTCAGCTTCTTATGAATTTACTGATTGTTAGCTTGAGCCGTGTTGTAATGTGTGTATAGACTATTTGATTGCGATGTGTGAGATAATCTTGACCAGTGGTTTGCGATCTTATATGAGATGACAAAAAATTGGTTGTCCCGACTTAGATGCATCCATTCTTTATTTACATTTGTCTTGGGTTTCAGCATCATTCCGTACTTTATAAATTCTCATTGAATTCCTTCTTCAACGAGTGAGGTAACCGTCATGTTAATACACTTAATATTTTCAACCGAACAGATGTATCTCATTATTACATGATATTGTTTTTCTTATCAAATCACTCTTACCTTTAACAGTATATATCAGTGGGGGTCTTTTATCATTCATAAGCCCATTTCCGCCGTATATTTATTTCATCATAAACAATGTTGGTCCTAGCCCAATATACATCAATCCAAGCTGTCACACTTTGGATCAGTTGTAGTACTAATACCGCGAGGGTAGATTTAATTGATTTTAGCTAAATTAGTTGATGTAAAAATAATGTCTATGCTAGTAAATCTCAATTAAGTAAAATAGAGTTCAAGATGAACAAATGAAATAACCGAACATAAGAACCTTTTTCGCCCAAAATATCCGATCATTGGTTAGACTTATTAAGCAAAACTCCGACCAAAAATTGCGTATATTTTTCACATAATTCAATTTCACAAATCAATGCCACGTCTTGGCTCGGTCAGCCATTACTTTTTACCAACTTACTTCTATAACGACCGCTACTGCGCTTTGGTTGGGCCAGTGTAACTATTAACCTAAAAAATGATTGTTATTACCGATGCTCAACACTATATAGAATATAAACTAACTGATACTTTGTTGTCATCATTGCTTATTGTCTTATCTTATTATAGATGGTTTAACTGTTCTTATGGATAATCAACAATTATCGGCATGGATTGGTTTACGTTCTGAACGAAATATTCATACATGGATTAATCAACATGATGTTGTCTATACGAACTGGCGCCCCACCGAACTAAATGCTAATGGATCTGTAAGACTGCCAACTATTTATTTTGAGATTGGCTAAAGTTATTATTTTTATAGTTTATTTAAATCACGAACTGGTCTTAGATTTCCACTGAAAATCTGAGAAAACTATACGGCCGTTTTGTCTAAGTATGAGAATGTTCAGCATTGTAGCCCAAAGTCCTGATACGATCAAAAGTGGAGAGAGTCAGCTATCCATCTCAAAATGCTCTCAGATAGCCACGCATATACAGCCACTCACAGAATTCCTACTCACTGCCTTCTCGCGGCAGGGGTGTTGTCTACTAAATTGAGAGGACGAATAGCGAATGTCTGGCGTTTTAAGCCGGGTTGGTGGACACGGAGGAACCTCCTAGAAGATTAGAAAACCCTTATTCCAAACCAGTGGTGCACATGGGTATCCTGAAGGAACAAATGGCGTATGAACCAATCGTTGGTCACCGGCTACCATGGGATTGCATTTCCTTACGTTGCTACACTGCCTTGTGGATTAGACCTCTGGGTCACAGGCTCCCAATGTGGCTCCCAAGGAAACCACGTGCTTCGATCTGGGCACCCGTGCAGTATCACAGCCCACACACGAATAAAATGAAATAACAATCAATAATGGAAGTAGGTATTATAATAAGAAAAGCGGTAGTCATCTGTAACCATCTACTAGCTCTGATTGGTTAAGAAATAGCCAGTCAGCGCGCCCCAACACAATCCCGCACGAGACATGCTCTAATCTTTATCCCGCCAACACCTCCCCTTCGAGCAGATTCGTAGAATCCATCTGCAATCGCGTGAGTGGTCTTTGCTTCCGATTCGTCCACCTGAGCAATAAAGAAGTGGTATCACCCTTTGTTCCCACAGAAACTAGCCTGTTTGATTGATGGGTTTTAATTTCAAAGGTGTCCAGCAAAACATCAAAATGTATTCTATGTCGGGTGTCATTGCTGACGATCGAACCTGCTTCAGTTTGAGCGCCCGGGTGGTGTTCCAGCCCTCATACAAATCGAATAATGAAGTTTTACGTATATACATGTGCAGCCTACTTGTACGAATGTTTATGTGCTTGAATAAATAATTACCCATATACCCTTCTGATGTTAGATTAGGTTGGGGGTAATCTAGTAACGGTAAAACCAAGTGGTACCACTTCATGACGTCATTCACGATTGAACTATTTTGTCTTAATATATGTCGACTTGCTGGTTAGAGTTTGCGTGATTATCGTAAACAATGGTTGCAAAATTTCGTTGACATCGCTCAGAATAGTTAGCACTGTCCCGGATGGATTCAGTAATTGGTTTATTTTAGAACCCCAATCTCAAAATCTCCGTAAATCTTTTTTCTTTTCATATACTTTGTCTTATGTTCAATTACTGATACTGTTACAACTTCTACTAATCTGAGAATAATCTTACAGTAAAACTATATAGCTGTACTGATTTGGTATAGTGACGTGGACCAGTGAATATATCTATTAAATTGTACGTTATGCATGATTGACTGACAAAAAATTTCCACAAAACCCTTTCAAGTCAAGAATGAATCGAGCAATTTTAATAGAGACGTTCCAGTTTACTCAATAGTAGAATCGGTGAATTCATTGCATAATGATGAATAAGAGTTTGACATAAGTGATGTATTATTTGTGGAAAATATGTATCCATTCATGAAATCTTAGTTTCTCAGCCAAAATGCGGCACTTTCACCCATAGAGTTTGGAATTTAAATCTTAACATACTCTACATCAGTTTGTTCGCCAGTATAATTTTGACTCAAAGGTAGTTTCAGCGGTACCTATAATCATCACTAACTCATTTGTTAGTGCTGTGAAGTGATTCATTTAATTACTTCTCATTATTGTCTCTCTCATATTCTTTTGTTTTTAAAATACATTTTCATAATGTACTTAGAGTTGTGCTGTAATGCATCACGAACTAGATTTCATTGGTACATGGAGTAATGAACTGTGCAACAAGAAATTCGGTTATATTTGTGAGGTTAAACCAAGTAAGTTTTTTTTGTGAAATTTACATGTTCATTACCTCCTATCATCCGATCAATCTTAGACAACCATTGAAAATCTGGAAGCACTGGACGGCTGTTTCGTTTTAATATGTGTCGACTCGACAGTGCTCATGCATGACTCAGTATATGCGAATCCAACCCATGATCTTCGGTGTGACAAGCGAACGCTTAACCTCTAAACCACTGAGCCGGCATCCAACAATCTTACTATCTAAATTCAATCAATCCACGACATTGTGTGACCATCTTTCACTGTTTTCAGTGGGTAGCTACCTCACTCTCCACGTGGCTGAACTACATTAGATCTTGACTTAACGATCTGGATATACCGAAGCCCCTGGATTCTGTCTCCATCTGCGGAGTCGTAGATGCTCATTGCCGAGGGAACTTATACCCAGGCAAAACAGTCATCCAGTGCTTCCAGGTTCTAAAGTTTGTCTAGCTAAGATCAATTTGTGATGTCAATAAAATTTAACAATCTCCACGACCCCATACTGATAAATACAATAGATACCTGCTAATGTGACAAAATGTTGTAACTTCAAGGTGTTAGATACAGTTTAATTGCCAATCGCTTACAAGTATTGATGACTAATGTCGAGTGTACAATTACATCAATTTTACACAGGTGAATGTCATTCATTTTGAAGGTCCGTACTTCCAAGATCGCGAGCAAAAAGGCGAGTGATAAAGGGCAACCACCCAAAGACAACCATCGATAAGGCACTTAATAATTCTTGCGAACGTCTGACGGGGGATAGGATAAAAATTTTCAAAGCTCTGAAATTCAAGCAATTTGCTGTTTGTCCCTTTATTTTTACAACTTGTCGAAAACACAGTTCTTTAAATATTCAATGAAGAGTCTACTTTCAAAAAAATACTGTGCTTTCTCGAAATGATTAATTTTTTTCCCTCATTTCCTCAGCCATGTTATCCTACACACCTACTTTGAGCACTGAAGCTGAGAATCTGATTGACACTCTTCATAAGTAATATAAGATTTTACAATAATGAGGCAATATGCCTTTTCACTTTCGATTGAATACCATTTTTATATGATATTCGCAACTTATTTTCAGCAATTGATCTATATATGTCAATAAATGCAAATTAGTTTACGACACATACTATTCGAACTTTTATCTAGCAGTTTTTCGTGCTGCTTGATGATTTAAAAATTCCTTTGGATATGGTGTTTGACTGCGTTAATATGCAGGTGATAGTTATCTAACTAAACTAAAATAAACACAGTAGAAACACTGAGTCGTATTTTCCGATTATGCCGCATCCTCTTCAACTCACTGAAACCGGGAAGTATCCCAGTCCTCACTATATATATTCAAAAAAATGTAACAATGCTGAATTTTTAACCAATAACTGCAAAATAAATTAACATTTAACAGCGGTTGAAATATTGAATTACTATTAATATTGTCAAATGTTTCTGTTGGTAAATTTTTATTCTCTTCTATTTAAAAAAAAACACATAGTTCTTAGATGTTCATCTTGTTAAAAAGTAGAAATAAACAAATATGGTTATTTCGGATGAGGTAATATTGAAAATTCTACGATTTGATTATTCCCTTTTTACCCACCTTTGAAAACTGTATTACCTGTGTAGTTTGTACTTTCATAAAAATTAGGCGATCTTGTTAATAAGTACTAAACTATTTTGTGTATGTCCTTTGACGTGAGTTTCACTTATCCCTTCTAATCCACACTTTACTGCTATGGGCGTATTTGTCCCACGATCATATGAAGTTATATTTTGTTTTTGAATTTTCACTGGTTATGAAACCAACCTACAAACTCAAAACATAACGGATGTTCAGTCACGCGACTAATGATGATCATATTTGTTACCTTTTTATATTTTTCAATTTTTACCTATGTAGTGACCTGATAATTTTAAAAGTCGACCTTCAATCAATTAGTTGACAGATTCACCTGAAAAGAGCTCTGCTACATTTTCTTCGGTTTATGTAACTGTAGTAGTATTGTGTGTGCTTTTTATGTTGTCATAAGTAGTATATAACACTAATCAGAAGTGGAATTCCTGACAACAGACGGTTAAGAAGGTTGAATCGAAGAGAACGCGAACAGAGAGTAATTGTTATAGCAATGAATTTTAAAAGAGTTGATGGAGGATTTTCAAATGATGTATTGAATGTATGGTTTTCACATTTTACCAAAGAACTCGGTAATTTGCATTAAAATGCAATTAGTTGTCCCCACTCGAGTTCTCGTTCGCTACAGTAGTATCACTAACTGTCATACTTTAAAAATATAACTTAACATCAAGTATATTCACGCGTATTTTGTGAGTTACACATTAATTTGTATCAAATACTATTGAAATTAAAAGTATTTAAATTTCTTGTCTTCTGAATTATATAAAGTACATGTTTGTAATGTGTGACCAGATCTGCATTAAGTAAAACTAAATACTGCAACTTAGTTGCTGTTATCAATTTCCAGCAAAATATCGGAGCTAGTGTATTTGTTTTTTTCCCTCCTGATTAGTCAGTACTCAAATTACTATTAATATCAGCCTTTTTGTCTATAAAACTCCAAGACCAACTCTCCGCCAGTGTAAACAGGTCTTTAATGAACTTTAGAAGTCAAACTCTTGTTTTGTATTTTCATTCGGCTTTCAGTTAGTTATAGATATATCAAGTCTAAAAATGTCGATTAGGAAGTTAGTGTCACAAACATTCAATGAATCAGATTTAACAGATTTTTTTGTAATTGTCCCGTTGTTTCTCTCCCCTCTATTTTGTTTATCAATCAATAGCCTATTTCAATTTGATCCTTACTACTTGAGTAATTTCAGTTCATCATATTCACACAACATTATACTCTAAATATTATTTTTATTTTTTAATGTAAATTAGAAATAGTTATTACCTAGTAAATTCTATGTGAAAAGTTATATTTTTTTAGTGAATATAGATTAACTCCCAATGTATGAATGAAGATGTTTTGTGACATTCTATCCGACTTATGTCTGAATTCCTTTTTCGTTTTAGGGACCTCGTTGTGACTCTGTCTGTTGTGTTTTTTAAACAGTTTATGTATATATTCACTCGTGCAATCATATGTATATATTTCCTTTTCTTCCTTTCACTTTCTTCATTTACATATATGTAGCTAGAACATTGGATAAATCCAACATGATACAACTTTTGGGAATGTTGAAGCATGGTAATTGTTCATCCGATTTCTATATGTTTAATAATACGTGTTATTCTGTGATGCCACCACGAGATTCACAACGTAGTATTGTTGACTTCCATGATGAAATAAGCGGTCATTGTTCTTTGTTGACCCACGCTACTAATATGAATTGTTTTACAAGTCCTCAATTATTGGGTACCAACTTTTGTCCAGTTATAGCGACTCCACATAGTCCGGTTGAAGCGGCGTTTATGCGTCTTCTGTCTAGAACTATTAGTCCTACTACTAAAAGTATTTGGGTTGGTTTGAAAATCAACCATACATGGGGTTCGGTAAGTAATATATATATATATATATATATATAATTTATGAAAATCATTGAAAATCCATGATCACTGCCATCTCTTTCTGTATTGTTGTTTTACGTTTTTTCTCTTCCCTAGAGTCATCTACTATCCGAAGATAATTCTTTACAAACAGTTGAAACTAATTTAATAGATTTTTCTAGGCTTTTTCAACATAAGGACAGTAAAGCGATTTCACTAAATAAGGACACTAATCAATCATATTTTGATTGTTTCACTATGCCAATTCATGATGGTAATTTGATACAAATGTCTAATTGTTCAATGCATTTGGAAAGCATTTGTTCATACAAACTTGGTAAGGTTTATGGTAATTTATCTCGATTATGTAATTTTATGTGATGTTTATGTGCGTGTACTCTACTCAGTGAATTGATTTTAATTATATAATAAAGGCTAATAATCCATTCGTGTTCTGGGCACAACTTAATATACAGTACCAGATTCGACACTGAAAAGTGCTAATCAAAAGTGAAGTTCCTTGACCAGTAGACCATTGCTGCATTGTCAGAGTACTATGTGCATATATGATAGTACAGTATGGCGTTATTGATCAATACATCCCACTTCCAAACAATAGGTCAGATTCCATCTCTGCACTACCGTCTCATCGACACTTCGATGTGACTGATCTCAGTCCCAAGACCCGTAGTATTTTACCACTGCCTATCTTTATTTCACTTTGTTAGCGGAATATAGACTGGATTAGAGTACCTTCCGTGTAGGATTGTGTTTTCGCACACTGGCTATTTCGTATCCAATCAGCGCCAGTGGATATTTGGAAAAAACTCTTCTCTTGCAAAGACTGTAAGTATACTAACGTTTTTCTTATAGTGCCTCCTAATTCCATCTACCCTCATTAATTGGAACATAATTTCGTTCCTGTTTCAATCGTGTTCTGATATGGGGACTTGTTGAGTGTATTGGTTTCCAAGATTAGTAAGCAATAGGAATAGCTGGGTCGCAATAGGAGTAATTATAACACTTTGTATTTTTTTAAAAATCCCCATCTATTTTATTTCATCAGATTTTACTGTTTACTATTTCAATATTATTCTATTATTCGTATATATATGCTGGGCTTGTTCACTATTATTTATTCTAAAAATTAGATCTCGTGTTATTCAGCAGTGAATTGATTTGTTTGTATTAAAATCGAAGTTGAATATTTTCTGACTGCATGTAGAAATTTGTTTACCTAACCTTGTTGATTTTACGTTCTTTGAGCTGAACGACTTAGTCACGATGCATGTTTTGTCTTTTCTGACAACATATCAGTATAAACTTCAGTTAAAAGTGGATACACGATATGTGGGCCACATTTGCTGTGTTTTTGCCTATGGGAAGCTGAGTGACTGATTTTAATTATGTTATACGTATGTTTTAATCAGGTGTCTTATCTATTAATATTTCCATGTATTTGCAGATTGATTGAGTCTTTTTTGAGTAGTGAGTGGCTAGTACGTGACATTTCATACACAAGTTTCATTCATTCCGTAGTCATTGGGACGACCTTAAACTGTATTGTTAATTTTCTCAGCCGTTGTGTATCAACAACCATAATGTATAAATCCTTTACTCAGTAACACATATGTTACTCTTGTTAAACATATGGCAGTTACAAACAGTTTAATGTTTATATTCACTATTTAAATATACAAATGTATCACAACTCTCAAAACATATTCTTACTGGTTTTGCATATTGATTAATTTGTACGTTTCACGTTAAGCAAATTGATTTGATGTATTTAATTATTTTATGTTTTAACTGTTTTTTTATTATTTTAAGATGATTCATTGATTTTTTTTGTTTCAAATAACATATTCATTTTTATCATTCAGCCATTTATCTTGTTTATACAGTACTGAGATAATTTTTGTTAGTTTTTGTTCTAGTAATTATAAGACCACGTTCGCGTTTATATCCAATGAATTTTCCTTTGAAAAATTGTTGGTCAATGAATTCATTTTGTCTGAGTTGCGTTCTTTAGGTTAGATGGATTAATTGCTGAGTTTACATTCACTTTAGAAGAGTTGAAACCCGCTACCACAGTTTTGTTACACGGAAACTTGTAGAAAATATTTTCTGTCCGTTTTCCGTAAGCATAGGCACTCTAAAAATTTCTTTAAGTGGTGTCTACCAATCCAATATACTGTCAAAGTACCAACACTGGAGACCAAGAGTGACAGATTTCCTAAACTATTACGAGAAATCTGAAATTCTTTTTTATAGACATCGTCGCATACGAGCCAACATATTCAAATGATTCCATTCTATGTATTCTGAATTACAGAACAGGGAGAGAAAGCGAATTCAAAGTAATCTGCAAAATAAATTATACCAGTTGCGAGAAATACTACATTTAACACATTGGATATATCCTTTATTTATGCATACATAAACATATGTTAGCAATGAGATGACATGATGCACTGTCTCTTATATCCATGCATGTAGTCAACCGTGAATATGAATCCGATTGGAGATACGTCGAAATTTCGTATTGGAAGTACTATTAGAATGCCGGGATTGGCATGTTGTTAAGATCAGTCACCAACCACCAGGCATATTGACATTGACCCAATCCATGCACTCATACAGGAGATCCCAGTCAGCAAATTTAGTCCGTCTGAACCCAGTAATAAGTAAAGATAACTTACCCAAGACATCCGATTACAAAGAAAATCGTCATAGCGTGCTCATATAATATTGACTGGGAAACTTACTTCCACGTGAATTAGTCTCTGAAGATGGATAAAAATGAATGCGCTGTAATTAAATCATTTAGCTTGTCCATCTAAACTGCAAATTTTCTCTATCATATTAAAGCTAATCAATGATTTACATATCTAGTGACTCAGTTACATTCACCCCTGAATATATTGAGTTGCAATATTTCATTTGTGTGTATTTTTCATTCTGGCTTTCTGATGCATTATTCTCAATGTTTAGTAATTTTCAGTATTGTTGATACCAGTACATTGTTTCGACTCTCTTGTCATTAATCTTGTAAATCTCATTTCATTGTACTAATGTGTTATGACAACATGGACTAACACACATGTATGCAAATCTCTACGTTGATTATATCTAAGTGATGCGTACCTAATAGAATTGAATTTACAGAATAAATTATCCATTAACAACTGTCAGCTTTGATACCACAAACTTATATGCCTTTTTGGCTTTACAATTTTAATTCTCATTTTGACGCGGCAAACCCATTTGAATCTAGAAAGTTACATATTCTCTGTATCGAAGTATTATTTGGTTAGTCAACCATATATGCTAATCCTTTGTGTAATAAAATGCCTTTTCTCTTCGAGACAACAAAATGTTCTCTCGTAAACGACCACGACTCTGTCGAATATACTGTATCCCTTCATGTATCACTTATCTCTTACTTCGTTAATTAATTTATATTATCGCTAGATTTGTACCTGTTGTTGAGGGACACACTCAGGCTCTATTCGTCGAACAAGGAAATAGCATGACTTTAACCATCCTTCTTTTAAATTTCACAAGCAGTAACTACATGGATACTCCACATTCTCTTCAGCAAAATTTGGGATAAAGAACAAGTACCAACAGACTAGAAAGGACACCTGATCAAGATATCAAAGAAAGGCGATCTCAGCAAGTGTGAGAACTAGAGAGGTATCATTCTTCTCTCAATACCAGGAAAAGTCTTCAACAGGGTATTGTTAGACAGAATGAAGGACTCTGTATACTCCCAATTTTGAGACCAACAAACTGGATTCCGTAAATACCGATCGTGTACAGACCAAATCGCAACACTACGGATCATTGTGGAACAATCAATTAAATGGAATTCATCGCTCTACATCAACTTCATTGACTACGAAAAAGCATTTGATAGCGTGGACAGAACAACACTATGGAAGCTTCTTCGATACTACGGCGTGCCTCAGAAGATAGTCAATATCATACAGAATTCATATGATGGACTAAACTGCAAAATCGAACAAGGAGGACAGGTCACAAACTCGTTCGAAGGAAAGACCGGTGTCAGGCGAGTTTGCTTACTCCCACCCTCTCTCTTTATCCTGGTGATCGACTGGATCATGAAGACGTCAACATCTGAAGGGAAGCACGGGATAGAGTGGATATCTAGGATGCAGTTGGACGATCTAGATTTCGCAGATGATCTGGCTCTTCGATTGCACACACAGCAACAAATGCAGGAGGAGACGACCAGTGTAGCAACAGCAGTTGGTCTCAACATAGACATAGGAGAAAGCGAAATTCTCCGATACAACACAGCATGCACTAATGCAATCACAATTGACGGAGAAGACTTGGAAGATGTAAAAACCTTTACATACTTGTGCAGCATCATTGATGAACAGGGTGGGTCTGATGCAGATGTGAAGGCGCGGATTGGCAAAGCATGATCAATATATTTACAACTGAAGGACATCTGGAGCTCAAAGCAACTGTCAACCAACACCAAGGTCAGAATTTTCAATACACTTCTGATTACATGTTAGTTTTTAAGCGTCCCAGTCACAAATATACAATATCGACTCAAATCGGTAACTCAGTTTTCAGTTATTATTCTCTCCTGCATGTGAGAATTACATGTAGTTCTTTAGCGGCATACCAGCATTCATACAGTCCACTGGTTATCAACAAAAAGTGCCGTTCTTGTTGTCAATATATCTCTTTTATGTAAATGCAAAGCGGACTAAAAGTTCTGTAAGAATTTAGAAGATAGACGAGCTTAAAACAACCTTGACGTGTTTTAGTCAGTAGTTAGCCTACTAAAAATTAGCTTTTGTAAATGAATAGTTTATGGGAAAAGATAAATAGTATTATAAAATGTAATGAGATATTACGTAATTAGTGAATGCATCAAAGTTTACTAAAGGCTGTCTTGTCTATAAATTGAAAATAATAACGACATGAGTATCCATTTATATGCATTTAGATTATTCGTTTTCTCAAACCATTATACGGACACAAATAGATTTTTGGAATTTCCCATGATCTTGGTTACGGTTAGGGATTAACCATCAAATCTAAGATTAAGTGTTTAAGAATAGAGTTTACTTCAGTGTTATACACAATCCAAACATAAATATTTCAATGTTTTATACACTTAACACCTTTAGTTGGAATTACCCAGTTCTTCGCTGTCTTTTTAACTTTGTGAGCACTATTTCAGCTGCTCACTTATTGGATACTTCATAGATTTCATTCACCATAGCACCTCATGAAATGATTAGAAAGTCGTTCTCTCTTTTGTGACCATCCCTTTCCTATAATTTATTCTTTAATAAACGTTTCGTTTCCATTGTTTACACAAACGCTTGTCGAATGTGTTATAATCTCTCTTTCTTCTTACGGTTAATGACCCAGCTATTCCTATTGCTTAGTATTCTTGGACACCGATTCACTCGACAAGTCCCTAAATCAGAACACGGTTGAACAGGAAGGAGATTATATTCCAAATAACAAGGTTAGATGGAAGCAAGTCAGAAGCACAATAGGGAAAACGTCAGTATATTTATAGTTTTTACATAAGAAGATTCCAGAGTATTCTCTAACTATCGACTAGTGCTGATTGGATAAGAATTAGCCAATCAGCGTGCACCAAAGCAGTCATGCATTGAGCATGCTTTAATCTAGTCTATGTCCCGCTAACAACCTGCATATTCGGTTGTGGTACTTAGAATATCTTTTAGAAAAGCCCAAACACTACGTAGCTTGATATGTAATGTGCTGGTACAGGAATTTGAAAAGGTTGGAAGAAAGTTTGAGATATCCAAAACACAAGACATGGAACCAGTTTATGAAGAAGTCGAAGTCTACGGGTAAGAACCATGCCAATAGATACAAACCTCTTCATTTGATTCCATGGGATAATGATTATTTATGATTGAAAACATTAAGTAACGTATCATGCCACGGTGATCATGTGGCTACTTAAGTTTTGGAAATAATGCTAAAATCTTATTGGTAACTGTTACCACAAATGCTTTTATCCTAATTCAGTTTTTTCTTCTTCTCTGGGTGATTATCAAAACTTTTACCTAATTTCCTGTATGCTTGCTAGTCATGCTTTCGATTTTAATTTGTCCTACTTGAATATTAAGTTCCTTCTACACTTTGTCTTCTTCCTGTGTTAACGCCATAAGTTTTGTGTGCCAGCTGTTCTTATCAAGTCTGTAATAAAAGCGTTTTTATTAAAGTAGCTCAACTGTTCCTCAGTTCGTGTGTATCGTAGGCCGACAGTAAACCTCAATAGACATAATCGTTCTTGTTATAATTTAACAATATCTCAAAATCAGTTTAATGTGTTATGTTCACTATTTATAAGGCTATCTTCGCTTAAACGTTCAACTTTGTACCATTTTCTATACGTTTGTTTAATCTTTCATTTTCATTCAGTTTTTCTTAACCATATTTCTGCATTTAACTTTCCGTTACTAATATACATATACATATATATACTGTTAGTTTTCTCTTTCGTTGAGCTAGTAGGAAGTGTAATAAGAATCTAGAGTGCAAACACTCGTGACAGGCTTGATACTGTATCCGACTTTGAGGCTTCAAACAATAAACTACCATTGATCATACATATGTTGGAAGGTGGGAAGCACTTGCAGTCCGTTTCGTCCAAGTATAGGACTTCAAAACAGTGCTCATCCAAAATTTCAATGAATAGAGTGGGGATGCGCAACATCATGAACTGATCGAGATTAAAAATGTTAACCATTTGACACCAACTCACTGTTTTAAATGTTGACCGCGAATTCTGAACGTCATGTGTTTAATTCCTGGTAAATTTATGCGTGCGAACTTCTTTCGAGATTCGTAGAAAATCCAAACATTTGTTCACTTCCCAATTTTCAGTGGTTACCTTACAAAGATCAATCCTTTACGTAAACTATAACATTCAAACTGTTGTTCACTGTCTTCATTTTTATATACATATTATAGGGAGAAATCAATTGCCGACAAATATTAAACAGCAACCAGTCGACATACCATTATGTCCAAAAGGTTGGATATCATTCAGAGAGAATTGTTACTGGTTACCGTCGATACACAAAAGAATGAGTTGGCCAAACGCAGAACGTGTCTGTCAAGAAAAGGCCAGTTACTTTGTAAACCACCGATCATTAAACAATGGTCATCTGGCTTCTGTCCATTCTCCAGAAGAATTACAATTTCTAATTAACCTATCATTATCATCATCATTCTGGATTGGTTTGAAAGCCTTTTGTGAGCATATTTTTCTCTTTCAAAATTTATGTTTGTAATCACAAATCTAACCTTATCTTAAATACTTGGGATGTTTGTGTGTGTATAAATACGGATAAGAACAATCATCAGTTTCTCATGATTATCTGGCTGGCAAGTATCTGGTTCATTTCATCTCTTTTAAATACAAAGGCATCCTACTGCAGTTGGTGTTTTTTTTTTAAAAAACTAGTCTATTTCTACTAGATACTAGTATGTATATTGATGAAAAGAGCGTAAAATGTCTAGACTAGAATATTATCAAAGAGTAACAGTTCGTCGATCCCCTTATAAGTGACCCTAACACTAATAGTTTGGAGGGAATGTGAAGGTTGTTGAAAAACTGTTTCAAGAAAAAATGACATCTTAGTGGTATATATACAAAACAAAGCAGCTCATTCTGAATCTAGAGGAAAGTTTATTATTGATTATAAAAAATTTATAAACAGTTCCAGTCTAAACCTATCTTTTACATCTAACTATATTTTCATCTTATTAGTTAGAGTATAACTGATTTCTATTTCATAGTATGTATCACGGACCACTGTTAGTTAGACAGTCACTGAAGATCAGTAATACTGGTAACCTCTCTCATCCCAGCATGAGACTCCTAAGCAGTGTGCATCCGTGACCCTGCTACAGACTGACCCTAGGATCTTCAAGTGCGGAGACGAGTGCTTCTAGTCCACTGAGTCGGCATACACTAATTTACATCCCAAAGTTCAATCATTGTTTTCGGTTGTTTACTGATTCACAATCGGCATTTCTTTTTCAATTTTTTCTTGTATGTTAATGATTCACGACTCAATCAGTGCAACAATATTTAATTGTTTTAACTGAGATGGACAAAATTTGTGGTTTTGGTGGAGTTACGTTCTGCATATATATATATATATATATATATATATATATATATATATATATATATATATTCAGCAAACAATAACACGACCAACGTCGACATAAACCAACCAATCAGAATCCAGGTTGATAGAATAAACTGTTAAAGTTTTATTGTTGAACTTTATCTTTTGGTTACATTTTTTATTATGGATTAGTTAGCCAGAGAATAACACATAGTGTTGGTGTAAGTGTTTATTTTTCCTAACTTTAATACTTTAACTATACCGGATGAACTAAAAAATGTTAGATATTGGACATATATTGAGCACTAAGTTGCAGATATGCCGCAAATCCACGTAAAAATAGCCTATTCCATTCCTCTTAAACAGTAAAATGTATATGTGTGTATGCGATGCTGTACTGCAGTAAATCACAGATAAAGACAAACATTTTGTCTTCCTGTTTATTTTGGGCTTAATTTGTATTGATGGAACTGGTAAAAGTATTTTTTATTTATAATCGTAGAAAGCTGAGACAAGTTGAATATTGTTATACATACTACAATCCAATTTGAACCTCCTGGGGCTATTTTTTTCAATTACTTTGTAATTGAACGGAAACAAACTTAAAGCTGAGTAGTGTGTACACATTACTATAGAGTTTACCTGTACTGTGTAAGTTTTTAGTGATTTTATCATCTAGAATTCTTGTACGGTAATCAATTTCTGTGTTACGTATTTCTACACTTGTCCAGTGTACAATAATATCCTTGACAGAATGTTAATTGGAGAAACTTAATCGTCAACTATATTGGTGTATTGTCTTTTTCCTATCTCTTTATATTCATCCCCGCATACCTCTCTGTCTTCTTAAACCCTATCAACAGATTCCGGTATTAAACCTACATCTTCGTTGAATTTAGTATGGAGTGATGGTTCAGTTATGGACTTCTCTGTATTTCCTTCAACCGATACTTCTACCACATTGAATGAACTAGAGAATCCTGAAAATTGTATCTCAGTCACTGATAGACATCACCGTTATTCATGGGATATTAATGATTGTATGGAGGAAAAAAGTTTTATTTGCCAGTTGTCTAAACTGGATCTGTTACTACAACAACAGCAACGGCAAACTACTGTTATGGATGATAGACGAGGTAAACGTGTATGTTTGTATGTACTTGTGCTTATACATCTACGTTGATCGTGACTGACTGACCTATGGATTTCAGATAAGCCTTGTCACAAAACACTTACAGACATATAACATTAATCCTTGTCATTGTATAGGCGTAATATTTTGTTTTCACTTGTAAAAAAGTCGAGATATTTACTCATGTAAGTTTGCACTTACGAAGCTGAAAATCAGTGCCCATTATCTTATAAACATAAATCATGCATCAAAAAGTATTTAAACTATAAACTCATTATGATGATCATCACCGATGTGTGTACATGTAGACTCATTTTATTTTATGTAAGGTAGTTAACTCAAAATAGTCATTTTTCATACTCGGTATGAAGGTGACATTTTATAAATACCAGTATTATTTATTATACTCAGTTGTCCTATTCAAAATTAGGACTCAATAACACAAAATGGCAATCGCGTTCATTTCTATCCTCATCGAATCTCTAACCTCATTCTTCTAACATAAACTAGCTTAGATCGACTCGTGACTTCAACTGTGAAATACTAAGAAAGTTTATTACTGCTTCGACTAATAATATACACGGGTATTTTTAAGAAAATCTTCAGGTATCTTTGAAAACTAATAACTATATATATATGAGTTCTAAGGCATTAGATCCTAACTTTCATATGGAACTTGTTATAAAAATGTCGATTTTAGTCTTGACGTTGAAGACTGGTTCGGGCTTCATTTTTCTTAGGAATTGTATTCCAGTCAGCCGAACACAACATAGAACCTGGAACATATGGCCTTCCATTCAAGTTGCTACTCCACCTCATCGCAGCGAGATACCAGAGTTTGCCGTATATAGTGACAGTATTAGTGATAATGAAGCAGACTAAGCATAGAAGAACCTATTCGAAAAGAAACTGTACATGTTATGAATTTCTTAATCAACAAGTTTATTTATGATTAACAATGTATGTACAAAGGTACTTTTTTTACTCTTAAATTTAACACAGAAATCAAATCGCCGCTGACTACGACTACTACTATTACTACAACTTGTACCGAAAATTCATTCCCAATACGTAGTAAAGTTGGTCCATATTGTTATAGTGGATTGTTGAATGATGCAATAGATTGGAGCAATGCTGAATCAATTTGTCGTAATATGCACGCTAATGCACATCTTGTCTCAATCCATTCACATGCTGAATTAAATGAAATTGTAAGTATCATTGTTTAGTAATTATACGTTAATTACTGTTACGTATACCAGTGTGGATTTGAAGAAAAAACACTTGGGCAACCTGTTGACATGTTTACTGATTTCGAGGTTGTATCTTTGATGAAAGTTAGGGGCAGGTAAACCAAAATAATATCAGTCCATGAAATTATTAACTACAGGTCTAAACCACTATACAGGTAGATTCAAACTACCTGGTTGGGATCCGCGCGACTGTCATTAGTAATAGTTGAAGATACTGACTGATATGGCTCAGATTTCTTCACTCTTCGTCCTAAAATACTTTGCTATTTATTTTGAGAATTAGTTCTTTCTCAAATTATATTGTTTATGCTTGTTTTTTTCTCACACCACTGCTACTATTATTACTTTTACTATTCCGGGATTCATCTGAATGGTTTCATCTCTTTCTGTTGATATACATGTGACAACTGGAATCGAGGCAGCTATATATTAATAGTTTCTACATTACTAATGATTGGTTAGATTGACCAAGTGAACTAAATACATAATTCCAATAGTTCCAAGTTCGGAAAATACTATTGATTTTTACCCTCATCGATTTGTAATCTGGTTATTTTACCAATCATAATTGGTATATGTTAATAGATTCCGGTTGATCAGTTACAAAATTTTAGTTATTAAACATTAAGAAACAATATTTTGCTAGATTAATTTGAAGGTTGTAGTCTTTGAATGTTCTTTGTTGATATTTATTTGTCAGAAAACACCCGACTAATACGAGTGCATTCATAATTCACATATTTTGATCAACAGTCAACAAATGGTTTTATTTTTAACATCATCCTACAGGTAATCTGTTATAACTTGTGTCCTGTGTGACCTGTTAATGTATAACGTAATGATATCACCAATTAAAGAACAGGAAATTATTGACCGGACCAATGATCCATAAAACCCGTACGAGTAGTCTAGAGTCCTTGTCGGTCCTGCTTTCCGCCTAATCCAGCTAGTTAAGTCCAGAACACGAATCTCAGCCTTTGCAATATGAATAATTTATTTCAAACATACGGGGTTTATATACTAACCAGACAGACCACATCGTACAAATAAAATAGGAAGCAACATTTGTACAAGACTGAGTCAAATGTGGCTGTGAATGTGGGAGGTAGTAATCGATAGACAGGGCATAACTCAAGAATGGTAGATCGTATAATAATAGTTCATAGTCCAAAATAAAGCTTATGATAAGAGGAACACGAATATGAATAGTTAAGTTATTTATCAATCCTACGATAAAAATATACACATAGTATTGGTCCATAAGTGGATCCCAAAAGTTACCATTCATTATTCACATCGCGATATAACATAATCCATTTGGACAATCGAGATTACAACCAGCCCTTCATTTTTAACATTTCTGATACTAACCTATTAATCGACAGTCTTATCTGCGTCCTCATGTAATTTCCATATGGTTTCGGTTTTAATCCTGTTTTTAAGTAACCTGATATATCCTGACCCATTCGTTTAAATCCCTCATCAAACAGCGGATTACACGATCTCTAGTCTTAAAGATGAACCGAAGTGCCGTTCTTTATACATACATTTTACCGTTGTTCCTGAAAGCAAACAACGTAAGACAAATGTATCTTTACAGTTAGTCATGCTACTTGTACGTAGTCTTTGCTTTTTATTACAATTGTTCATACTGACACGAAAATATATCCCCTGTTTAGACTGAAATTATCCATCTAGATTCACAATCAATGCGCACTACCTGGATTGGATTGTATGAATCAAACTTTGCTTACAAATGGTCTGATCAAACTGATATTAATTATATACCAGTTTCAGCTGACATCAGTAAAGAGTCGAGACATTACATGCAAGATTGTTTTGTGCTGGATTCAGGTTTGTTTTATTTATTGCGATAAAAAAAATCAAACTAAATATGTATGGGGGCTTTCAAATATTATTGAACTTGATAGTTTATTTTAAAGACTGACGTTGACTGGACAGTTATTGGAAAACTAACAGATACCGGATAACTACGAAGTCCTAGCATAGAACTACTTATAAAAACCTTACCTGGGATCGAACCCAGGAACCTCAGCCCACTCAGTAAGCGCTTAATGTTTGAGCCATTGAGTTGAAACAGCGGTTTACATTTCTAATTTCTATTAATTCGTGTTATTATCCATTCATCTTCTCCAATGAGGTCGGAGATATGCTTTGCTGAGTAGCCTTATACTAGGGGGAAATATCTGCTCAGCCCTTCTTGGTTTCCAACAGTTGTCAGTTCATAATGTAAACTATGGAACTGAAGTTATGTTTAAATCAGTACTAATATTTTCATTTATTGGTGGCGTGATTTCTATCCGTTTATTTTAAGTAACGAAATTAACGTAAGAAGTTCAGTAAACTTTAATAAATCGCAGTTAATTTTTTCTATAGCGCACTGCTGTCAATTGTGTGTACAATAACAACTAGGGATTATTGTTGTTCATTCATATTGATAAAATTGGACAGGTATGTGGTCCTATGATTATTAATGATTGTTATACTATCACACCGATTGTTTAAAGCTGGATATGTGCTCTAGTAAACCGCAAAATCCTAATTATCTAATTAGTACACTTACCACAGTACTTAGTAGTTCTTTTGTTCTATTTTCTATGAAGCGATATGATCACACAGCTCATGAGTTGTATCAAATTACGAAGAAATCGATAATGACATTTAATGTTTTATGTAGGTTCCTTAACTCAGACGATGTTATCTCAACTTGTCCTCGATTTTGATTGGTTATTGTTGGCCTATAAGCTGTCACTATCTCCCTGTTTATTTTCATTGTATCTCCCTCTGATCTGATTCTTGGTCCTATATCTGTTCATGACTTTTATGACTGGCTAATAAATTGGATCGATTGATTGCTAATTGATCTGATAGTTTAAAGGTCAGCAATAACCAATCAGGATCGAGATTGTCATGACAAGTTGAGAGTCGTATATGTAGAAATGTGAATTTTCTCATCGATTTGAAGTTTGTGCTGATGATGTTGTTTAGAAAAACAATTAAAGATCCACAGTGAAAAATATTCAGCTCAGAGAACGAAATTTTACTAAAAATAATGAGAATATTCTCAGTTCGTGATCAGTCTCTATCTGTTCAAACAATTACAGTTACCTAAGATGGATTAAAAGTGAAACGATCTAGCATCCCTAACGAAATACTACTTGGCTTAGTTTTTTCATAACAACTTGCTATAAGCCTTAGATCTGAATGTTAATATTTTTATGAAAAAAAGTTCAGTTAGTTGGTGGGTTTTTCCATCAAACTTCTAAATAACATGAACAAGGTTGTAAATAGACACTGTTACACGTATATCTGTTTCACGTTAATTGAAGAACGTTTTCTCTTCCTATTATTCTAATAGTTAATTCATCAATAAACTGGAAAGCTATGCCATGTAAGAAACCGTCTTTGAGTTTTATATGTAGATTGAATTTGAATCCATCTACAACGATATTACATCCAACTACATTTGATTCATTAATATACCCAACATGTCCTCCTGGTTTCCGATTCCATGGGGACCGTTGCTTCCAAGTAAATTATTATTATGTTATATTTATCTTTTATCTACACATAAAGTAATCGTGTTTATAGTGTGCACCAACTAGTCATTGATTACTAAACAACATTATACTCAATATTGATTGAATTTTAGTTATGAAGTTTAAATGTGATCGATAGTTGACATGTCTGAACATTGTTTGCACTACATTCTCACTGGCTGGTAGTGACTGACAGTAAGCCCTATGGCTTACTGTTAGTGCTCATCCATTAAGCCTACTTTGATTGTTTAGCGAAATAATGCTCCGTGTGTTCTGAACACTTTGTTATTTTGTATTCCAACAAGAGACGTAACCACTAACTGATTGGGGCCGCAAATTGAACGGAAGTGATCGATCCTATCTAAGATTCCAGATATATGCTGCTAGGGTGAGGCGATTAGCACGAAATCCAGTCGCAGAGTTCCTTGTAGACTGCCCCCAGAACCTTCAATATCTAAAGCTTAATTGGGTAATATCTCGAGTGAGCGTTTTTTCCACAATGCTCCTCTAACGTTACAGTCATACCCATAATCTTCGATTCTTGTACAGTGAATGACCATTTCTCCAACTGGGAAAAATTCCGCCTTGTTACATGCAATGGAATTTTAGGAAGTAGCAGACGAATATAACGGTAGGTCACCCAGCATGTATGTACATCTTCGGTTACACACATAAGTGAAACCATGCATATACACACATATACAAATTAGACACTTCAATGTTGTTTGTACAGGTAGATTGGTATATCCGAAATCCCAGAGTATTATTATAAATAGTCATAATTATTTAATCATATCACTGTCATCACTGTGTTATGTTTTGTTGTAAACAATGTTCTATTTTTCTGTTCTGCTTACTGGAAATGAAATGTGGGAAGATTTTGAGTTTGTTTGATTCTTTTTTACTTGATATAAACATTAGAATTAAAACATTTCATGCAATGAATGTATTGATCAACAATTTGTCTGGTTAGGGTTATGATAACGTTAATAATGTTATTTTAGTGTTATGTAAATGATCGTGATCCCGTATTCATTCAGTTGTGGGGCTGGTACTCTTGCTTATCGGATATTGCTACGTGTTTATTTATGTTGTACTATGCTGTTCTACACTACATAGTATTATGATATACGGTTCAGTAATCATTACAACACAAATGAGCATATACGTGATGTTGTTTAGGTGAAAAACACAATCGCGTATTTTATAAGCATTATTCCATTAAATCAAGAATACGGCTTCTTTGAAAACACAACCACGTATCGATGATATCAGTCAATATTCATGCAGATAACCAACATAATACTTCAAGGATATTTAAAACACAAATAGTATGGTTCTAACGTAATTGCATTCCTATTTGTAGGCTAAAATATCGATTGTTTCATCCGATGGCTTTATCTTCTGATTACCAGTCACGTGAATGATCATGCTGTTACAGTTTATTTGATGTTAGGTTAGTGAACCCTTTCACTGACTAGTTTGCATATACATCTGCATTATACAGAATGGTTGTCCAAGGCCTCAAAATCACTGAAGCAAATATCTACAACCGTAATACTTGACGATAAATGTTTTAAATCTGTAAAACAGATATTATTGCTCAGTTCTTGATAATGCAACTCGAACTTAGCTATCAGACACAAAGATGATGGCCTTCATGTTCATACAGTGTACATGCTTCACTTCGTTCTATAATATTTGGACATGGGCGGGTTGTAGAAGGTTACATTTTAGTTATCCATTCGATGCTTGAAAGAGGAAGTAATTAGAAAATCCTCATTTACCTTACATTTTCTTAAAATTGACACTTTCCAGCAAGGTTTACTTTCAGTCTTGTGGCAACTGACACTCCCTGTGTGATTCACATTCACTTCACTAAGTGTGAGATGTGACTTGTAAGTTATTTTGACCTCTACTGTAGTTAGTAACTTTGAATGATGTGGTTCAAAATCGTTTGCGATGGTGCAGTTGCATTCATTCTTTGTCTTCACCGAGATTCCAAGCTTGTGAATTCCTCATGACTTTTTCCTTCTTTATTTTACTAATTTATCTTTTCCTGAACCGTATCTTTGATGTCTAATCCTTTTTATTGCTATTGATACTGTTACTAACTCTACTATTTAAGATTTGACTTGATAATTTCATGTTTCTCTGCTAATGAAGTATGGCAACCTATGTACATATGTAATAGGCTCTATGTCGCGATTGACTGACTGACCGCTACTGATCTCTTGTAGAGGTGTAATGTATTTACAGTCGAGTGGTGACTTTGCAGTAACCGCTGTCATATTTGTCTAATCCTTAGTATATATATATATATATATATATATATATATATATATATATAATCACAATTTTTTCAAACTTCTCTTTACATAGTTGATAACAGACAAATTTACGTGGAGTGAAGCCAATGACAATTGTCATCATATTGTAAAGCCATATGCAAATTACAATGGATCCTTAGCCCGTATCGACAATGAACTTGATCAGCGTAAGAAAAAAAATGTATTTTTTTACGTACCAATTATTATTTTTACTATTATGGATATTTTGTTTCGTAGGTGGAATGGTGTACTGGTGTGATGGTAATGTTGGTATGGTGACTTGAAACTCATTACTTCCAGTCACGGGCTTCCGGGATGGAAGTCGGCTTTGTTCTTGCATATATAGGCTTCCTGCCGGTCCCAAGCCCGGATAGAGAAGGAGGTTTAGGCATGTGGTCAGCAGCCCATATGCCATAAAAAACAATTTTGCTAAAGTAATCGCCGACTAGAAAAAGTCATTTACAGCATTAAACTATACGTTGGGAGTTGATTTATCTTCATTTTTCAAGAATTATGACGCCTCACGGTGAAAGTTGAGATTCTTCGAAATCCTCAAATCCGGTTTACATTCTAACAACCAGAACAACGATTAATGTAGGTACATAAAATGTCCAGACAATCTCGAAGACCAGGAGGACCATTCAAATAGCTTCGGAAAGGAGAAGCTGCAAGTTACAGGTTCTCGGAATAAGTGAAACCCTTTGAACCCAAGCTAGGAAGAAAAGGATAGATTTGGGAGAGATGCTGCTGTACTCTGTTTACGAGAAAGAAAGTGCTCCGCATACAAAAGTAGTTGCAAGGAAACACGTAAAGCAGTTATAGGATGGGAATCTCATGAATGCGGAATCATCAAAGCATCCTTCAAAAAAAGAAGAAAGGGATCAGAATAAACTTTACCCAGTGCGATGCACACACCAGTGATAGCAATGAAGACAAGACCATATTCATAATACACTATTGTCGGTCGTAGAGACATACCCAGGAAAGGACCTGACTATCCTGATGAGAGACCTATACGTCAAAGTCGGAATAGACATTTGGTATGAAGATATCATGGGACGACATGGACTGACTGGGAGAAAGGAATGAGAATGATGAGAGATTTGTAAATTTATTTGCCCTTAACAGAATGGTTTTCTATCACACTTTATTCCCCCATAAACGCATACACAAATCTACACAGGTCTCACAGAATCACACCACAGGAAACCAGACCGATCATATATGTATCACTAAAAAATCAATGTAAGACGAGAATTAAGTGAGGGGCTGGAATAGCTTCAGATTACCACCTGATTATGTCCAAGATAAAAATGAATCTAAAGAAGCACTGAGCAACTTGAGAAAAATCATTAAAGAAGTTTAGTACAGCCTTTATTCGAGATACTGACAAACTCGATGAATTCAAGATAATTCCCAACTATAGGTTCCAAGCCTTACAAGATCTACTGGAAGAAGAAGACACTACCATGGAGGACAAATGGAAAGGGATCAAAGAAGTACCAATTTCAACGTGTTATGTGCTGAGTCGCAAGAAAAATCGTCATAAGGAATGTATATTTATCAAAATCCTGGACCATGATTCAAGAAAGGAAGAATAAGAAAGCAATTAACAACAGCCGACCAATATAGGACTCACGTTTTATCCTCTTTGGGACTTGCCTGCTGGATATATCGGGATTCGAATGTTGATATTTACTTTGGGACCCAAAACAAATTCTTATCAATTTAAACACTAACGTGTTTTTCATTGAGCTATTTAGTTCTCGAGAGAGTTACCTAATTGTACATTTCTTACTTTAAATGAAAAAGTGATCGATTAAAGGTATATTTCAAGCACATGTTTTGTTTAATGGATACCGTAATATTCATTAACGAACTTACATTAAACGACTTCCCTAAACACCAGCTCAATGTTCCGAATAATTTACTTAATTTTAAGTGTTATTAAATTTGAGAGAGTTTTTAACTGTGCTTCTTGTCTTAATATGTATATTGATATTTATTTTGTGTATTGTTTTGACCGTCGGCCGAGTTGATCAATAACCGAGTGAAATCGATTATTGAAAAAAAATTAGAATATGACATAGGTAAAAAGTAAACACATTTAGAAATTAATAAAGCAATAATTCCAGAATATTATGGATTTTGTAACATACGAGGTCAATGTACGCCTTAAAAAATTGTTTTGTCTTATCTCTTACGGTATCAATACATTGTTCGCCTACTTGAGCACTCTGAAATTCTATACTATAAAATAATAATGTGCTTATTAGTGACTAACTTTGGTAATTCCTGAAATACAAATGAGAAACCATGACCATTGAAGTTCTGTCATGTCGAGTATGACATAAATATCAGAAACATCAATCGACAACTGTCGCGTAATATCATGAATTGACGAAAGTTGAGAATTTAAACCTTTGATTATCGATTAATTGTTATGAAGTTTGATCATTTGTGACAAGATCTTAGGTTCGTGTATTCGATCCCCAGTAGAGTCGTGGATAGGCCATTTTAGTATGAAATAGTTGTCTACTGCTTTTTAGTTTTTATTATTTGTTTGTGATATTTAACTACGAAATTTTACAACTTCTACACCTCCCTGTAAATGATTACCTATTAATTTAATAGGGCTTTAAAGAACATTTCATCTTATCTCTAATAAGACATTTATTTATTGATTATCAAATAAATTATGTCATTGCACAGTGTACAATAAACTCCTGTTGAATGTCCGATCATGAACGTTAATATTTATATTGCTGTATACTAAATGTCCTCCCATCTAATAGAATCTATGGTAACTTCCATGTGATACATTTGTATTTCATGTTAACTAATATTTGGTAAAACTATCAGTACATCATTTAACACTGAAACGAATTTTACTTAATCTCTTGTCTAAACTATGATCATCTATTTCGTAGCCTGAATTTCGTATCGCTTTTAATCATTGAGCTATCGGATGAATAGTATGGGGTGTTCCACAATTGTACAGCCAATTATATATATATATATATATATATATATATATATATATATATATATAGAGAGAGAGAGAGAGAGAGAGGGACTTAAAGTGAACCAACCCTGCTTTATTGATTTGGTCATTATACAGAGTTTAATCTGAATTCCAACTCACTTTTGAATAGCTATCAGTCATTCACTAGTTGAAGTACAAATTTATTCCATGATGAAACATTCTAAAAATGTAGCAAAGGGAAAAATAGGCGTTTTGATTTTCACTTGATAGGTGTATATGATAAAAGTTTGATGTTTATTTTTAATGAACCAGTTTAAAGTGTTTCTTATGAATAATTTTTTTTCTGGGATGGGTCTATTGCAATGAGTATCTTGTACTGCGACTGTGAATAATAGTTTCGATAGTTTACAAGTTTTGCTTCGAACGTCACAACATTCATTATTCACTAGACGACTTAGCCCTCATAACCACTTTCTGTCTGATAGCTATTATATATGAGTTTAATGATTCGTTAATAATATCCATGGTCGAATTAATAAACGTTATATTTCTTGATCGTCTAATCCACTTGCAGATAAACACACTTCTTGCATGCTTGCTCAACCTACTTTGAAAGTAAGTAGACTGCGAAATGATCATGTTACTGTAATTAGCGAGCCAAGTACAATGAATGCATAACACATGTGTATATACATCTATCTTTCTGATCTAGACGTTGGCAGATATAGATGAAGACCTTAACTAGGTCTATAATTGGCTTTATCTAGTTGCGTGCCTTCCTGTGATCTCAGGCCTGATGTTTGCCCCTTAAATAATGTGTGAACACAGACATTTGCTTATGTCTGGATCCACCCAATTTATCAATAAGTTCCTGTCTTATGGTTGACCTCCACTGGTAGATGTTGATTATTTTTTGTTTCATAGTTAACAGTGGTAGGATTCAAGACTCCAGTTTCATTCTCCGTATATGCTTATCTTAGTGCAATAGAGGAGACGCGTATATATTTTATTTATTTTGCTCATCTTTCTTGTATTTTTTTATTTCAGAGTTTCTAGCTAGTCTTCTAGATAATCTTGAACCTGAAAAATCGTCTGCAGTATGGATTGGTTTGTACCGTAATTTATCACATGGTTCTCACAGTTACGATTGGTCAGATGGTAAAAAGCCTCAATTCATCAAGCCAATTATAAGAGATCATCAACTTTCTGTGTATGGTCATACTTTTGTTTCACGACCAACTATTTCAATCAAGTCGAAATCAATGAGTGTATGTCATTTCCTTGGTTCTTTATTCCAATTAATTTATCACTTGTTATTAACCAAATGATAATACGTAACATTCGTTCTTTCCAGTTTTACGTCTCTAGAAAATCTATTCAAATCTAAAACTCACTAATCAAATCGTTGCCTGTACTCCTGGTCTCGAACAAAATATAAAGGGTAATAATATATCACTTGATTGCCCAAACTGATATTAGTTGAGTTGGAGTTTTTTTCTAACTACGTAATTGTTCCCACTGACCGAAGTAGATATTTATGGGGAGTGCTATAAAGGTCAAGGCTCCCGACTTTCATTCACCAGTTCTCAGGTTCGGGCCTCATTCCGTTTAATGTGGTTTTGACATCCGGGTGGTATAACTAACTCTTTACACATTATATATAGCTCCACAGCTAAATGCAGAAAATATTATATAGGAATACCTGTAATCTCACATGAGATTTAAATTTAAAGTCTTATAGTTGCCTAAAGTGTCCTGAAACAACTTAGTTTTCGAGATTATATGTCTATTAGCTTTGAATAAAAAAATGTGCTGTTGACCGAACTATGTAGTAACGATTGCAAATCCTAAACGAGTTTGTGCCATTGACACACTTACTGAAAACTGCGAAACCTCAGTCAACTTCTCTTGTTCAAGCTGAAAATATTTAACGAAGTGTTCAGTACTTAAAAACTCAGGTTTTTTTGTTTATCAGGATGTCTATTTTTCGTATACCTCAACTTATTTCACTGTTAAACATATCAGTAAGTTGAAGAAAGATTACGAAATTATCAACTATTGAATTGTTTCATGAAAGCGTAGATTTCTTGATTCAGATTCGTGGAATGATGATGTTTAGTTGACTGAAGACACGGTTCCAAATCCAGATCAATGAAATACCTGTTTTCGTTCTTTCTTTTCTTCAATGTTATGGGTTTTTGAAAAATAATTCATCCATTCATTTTGGATAGATGTTTCTGTTTAAAATTCCCACCCTCCTTCTATCGATATTATTTAATTTCATTTTGATTCAAAAAGATTTACTAGACCGAATTTTTTTATTAAGTTTATATATCACAAGTTGTTTGTTGAAATTTTCCAAGCATAGACAAATTGTTTTTATTCTTTAAAGTTTTATACTCAACACTTGGTATTGTTAACAACATACTAGCTGACTGATATTAGTGATCATAAGTTTAATCTATTACTCAGTGCAAGAATACTTCAATTTGTACACAAAATAATTAGATATTTTTGGTCATTATGACATATCATTAAGTTGAATATATTTATATATATATACTGAGTTATATTCAAAATTCTTATCAAATATATATTACTCTAGTTTTCTGAATGTATCATGTACTTGCACCAGTTCTTATCTGCATTTATATTATTTTTTATTTATATACATATATACACTTTTTCTTTATGCCAACTAGCTATGCACGTCAATGTTTCGTGCAACGGATCCAAGATTGAATGGAATTTGGCTTCAATGGTCGTGTGATGAACCAATTTATTTAAGTAGTTTATGTCAAGCTTCACCAATTTATCAAAATAGACATGTAAATCAAATGTTGCTCTCTCCGTATCGAACAGAAACATTTTATTGTCCATCGGGTTTCCAGTTGGGCACAACTGGTCTGTTAAAAGTTAAAGGTCAATCAATGGCAAAACTTTCTCAACCTATGTGTTATCGCGTTTTCAATCATGTCACTAAAATGAACTGGGCTGTAAGTCTTATGTCTGTTTTTTTACAATCTAAGCGTCGTGAATTAACCAACCCATACATTCAAACGATTGAATATCAACTCAGTGATCTAAAGTCTAATCGCTTTACTCAAGATTTGACATTCCTAGTTTCGATCTCTTAGAAGGGTCATGCACGCGTTTTGTTGAGGAGTTTCACAATCCTACAAAATGAGCTATCCAGTTTTTCCCAGTTCTCAGTGGTTGTTCAACTAACATCAGTTCATGATGTAAGCTGCTAAATGTCATTTTGTATGAGAATAACAGTGTTTCGCACAAATTTACTGCTTTGTTCTGTGATGGAGATGATATTTGCTAAGTGCTAATGTTTTTACTGATTCCGAGTTCTTGGAATAACTAGATAATAAACTAACAATTATGTAGGAACCACTAAACGTTACTCAACGATGCACGAATAATATTGATATAGACTTACATCATGTTCGTAGCAGTTGTACTATTTCGAGTAAAGAACAAAGTAATACACTGAATCTAATGTTTCATCACCATTTTATTCTAACCATCGAATTATGATTACGTCATGAAAGTATCAAGAAAAATGCTAATGTAGTAATAGATAAGACAAATCATAAACAGTATGATTCGAGAAAAGAGAATGAATTCACGTAACTGAATGTATAAAATAATTTTGAAACTCGGTATCTAAAGCGAAGACGAAGAGTGTATTAGTCCATCCCATTCAAACAGATTCTGAATCATGCTACTCAATGTCCTACAAATTCATGAAGCCACAACCAGGTTGTCTAAACCTACTAAGACAGCGCAATTCAATATTTAATGATATGTTGGACTAATGTAATGTTTATCTGCTCCCAGCCGTCTATTCGTTCTATGTACATCAGTAACAAAATGAGCTAGATTCTAGAATAATAAAGTACTAGCAGTATGTGGTGTAATCAGATATATATATCGAATAATTCTCCATATTATGTAAACCGATGAACAGCATTCATTTGGTTATCCGATATATGTAATGATCTGCTAACATACTATTACGATATTTTGTCTCAGTTTTTAATGGTAAGAAACTTAGCTTCAAAAATCCTTGCTAAGAAAAACAAATCAGTAACGATAGAAACAATTTTTTTGTTTTCAAATTCACTCTTGCTTTTCACTTTAGTCAGCAAATATGGCTTGCAAAAACTTAAGCACTCCAACATATAACGTCAGTTTGCTGACGATTGCATCAGTGTTTGAAGCTAGTTTTCTACGTGTATGGCTTAATCAACCACGTGATGTCAGTGGTGGTGGACTGCCAATTAGTGAAGCAGTTTGGACAGCTTTAAAAGTACCAACTACTTGCCCTGGTTGCTATGCAGTAAGTTAGTTGTCTGATGATCATTTGCTTGATGCTCTTGTTACCTCCTTTCTCTCTCCCCTTTCATTTACTTTGTTTAACTTGCTTGTTTGGAAGCGTTTCGCAAAGATGATAACGTTGCCATTTTCAGAAATTTAGAGACAGTTAAAGGAAATTGGTTTACTTTGTTTAATGTCATTTGCATACTGACTACACAAAGCAATCACTCAAGCATTCGTGCTTTTTACAGCTACGAAGTCACACTCTCGAACTCCGTTTCACCTAGTTTAATTCAGTCAACCGGGTGGTTTTGTGGTGTGTGCTACTTACATTCACATAATTAGTATATGATCTTAGTCGTGAACAGAAGCTCTGGCAGCAGAGAGACAAGAGGATCGAACAGTAAAGAATGGAAACAGGATGCAATTTATATGAAAACGCAAGAACAATGAAGTTTGAGTCATTTTGAGACAATCGATGAACATTTTGCAAATTAAGCAGTTATTTTATGATTGTTAGATTTTATTAACAAGTCCTGTAATTTTGTGTTAAATACATTCGATTGTCCCCACCCGTGTTCTGTTCACTACAGTTTCACAATATACCTCACGCTTAACGCTTATCTTCAAGTCAAAAACACACGTCTGTACTTGGTGAATGAACTAAACTGTGTTAGCGGTTAGGAATGTTAATACTGCTTGTTTCAGTTCGAAATAAATAGGTGCGCAACTTAATGGTTGAACATCTGTCTGGTACTGATGAATAGATCAGATTCTCCATACGGTATTATACCTGAAACTACAATTGAGTAGATATTTGTTAGAGAAATTGTACTTATATTTATGTAAAAATTGAATTTATTTTCATGAATACGACTAACATCTTCTAAGCAATCATTTTATCAACAACAATGCTTGTCGAAAGAGGCTGATATGATCTAAATTATAGATTAGTTAATAAGATGCATTATAATGTATAAGTTTTGTTCGCGAAGTGTTAATATGAATAATAATGATATTTTTGGATTGAATGTTCAACATGAGTTAATACCGGTTGCAAAACTCTGCGAAACATTGTTTTGATTTTTGAATTTAATATTAACTATACAATGATCATTTCTCCTTAGATCTATGTCTCTGAATCTTAATGTAATAAAGCTTTTATTTTCATTCACATCCAATCTGTAATATCTGATTTCACTGGTTGTAAAAATTGCTGCTATCCAATCGTTCCTTCTCTCTGTATAACTGATGTTTTTGAAGGTTCATAATCTATTTGAACTAATCGTCGGGTTGAAATATGACCAATTAGGGATAAGATACATGTTCAGGAATTTGTAACACTTCTGAATCTCAGAACCCAATATATCTTCATTATCTAGCATTTTGCCGTTCAGTCAATGCCAAGTTGGAATAAGCTACACTAGCGTTTTTACAGAAGACATGTAGATGGCTTTAGACGATTAAAGCAAAGTCCTTACTAAAAAGTACACTCTTATATAAAGCACTGAAACTACGTTGACAAAAAAGTGCGCGAAAATAAAAAATATCTCACTGCTATTGAACATTGAAAAAATTATGATTGTCCTCAAACTTCAGTTGTTAACAGTAGTTATGTGAACTTTTTTAGTGTTCACTTAACCATTCAGTTTAATTTTCACTGTTAATGTACGTGTATGAACTCAGTCTTTGTAATGATTCATTGAATGATTTTTCAAATATTTTGCATTCACGGTTCCTTATTCATCAGCTCTTTTTTTTTTAAAAATGAAAATTACCCACTTTTTTATTATAGAATTGGACATGGGAAACCCATGATAATGAACCGGTCAGATATACAGATTGGTATAAATCACCGGGTGAAAATCCCGGTGGTTGTTATCTGTTTCATCAAGCACCTTACACCACACTTGAAAATAACAGAATTGATTCAGGTATAGGCAGTATACAACTGGCAAGTTCATGTGAAACACATCAGTTTGTTGCTTGTCAGACATTAGCTTTAATAAATGATACATCATCAAAATTATTGTCTTATCATCGTATTACATCAAATGTTGATGTGCCTTCTACTCCACATCATCAACCAGTGAGACCGGATTGTTTTAAACCAAAAATAGCAATGAGTAAATTTGAGCATGATGTTATATATGAAACAAAAATTATGCAGTCTGTTACCGGGAGACAATGTCTTAGGTTAGTTGATTGGTTTCTTTTTTAAGTAGTATTAACATTGATATTGGTAGTTCTCAACCAAATTTTACAATTCAGTTCTCCTCTCTTTTAATACTAGTTAATCATGTTATTAGTTTTACATAGTTTGAGAGCAAAACTGCTCTCACCGACGCATTGTAGTTCGGACCTTTTACAGCCAGACTGACATCACGAAGGCGCCAAAGGTGGCCCAGATTGGCATAAGCATCTCTGGCTTTCACTATACGTGCATTGATCTCATCACTCACGCCACCACCAGCACTTATGCAGCTACCTAGATACACGAACTTCCCGACTACTTCTATCTGCTCACCAGAATCCTGCCAGTCTTGTAAAAGTACTTTGCACTTCGAAGGTGCAAAGCTGATACCATAACTACGGACACTAATTGCTAACTGATTAAGTGTGGATTGCATGGCTTTGGGATTATCGCTCAGTAAGACAATGTCATCCGCATACTCAAGGTCGAGAAGTCTTTCTCCAGGCAACAGATCCACACTGTCATTACTTGCATCCATCAGGGCTGTTTCCAGAATGTCATCGATGGCAAAGTTGAAGAGGAATGGTGAGATTGGGCAACCTTGTCTAACCCCACTGCTCGAATGGAACAATGGAGAAAGGTGGTTGTATGCCCTCACTCTGCCTGAGGTGTTTGTATATAGGGCTTTTAGGATGTTAATAAACTTCTCAGGCACACCCTTCTTCAATAGACAATCACAAAGAACAGTCCTGTCCAACGAATCGAAGGCAGTCGTGATGTCAAGAAACACTACGATTGTTGGCCTGTGATAAGTATGGTGGTGTTCTAACACTTGGCGGAGGGTGAAGATATGATCAATACATCCTCGACGAGAACGAAAACCAACCTGCTCCTCGCGAGTCAATCTTTCTCGGGTTTTGAACAACCTACGAAGTACGACGGAAGCCAATAGCTTGGACGCAATCGGAAGTAGACTTATCCCCCGATAGTTGTTACAGGAACGACGTGAACCCTTTTTAAAGATAGGGACAACTATCGACTCATTCCATGACATTGGTACACTCTCTAGTTCCCAGACCTTTGGAAAAAATAACGCAGTCAGCTTCTTAATCAGAAGGTCGCCACCATCTTTATAAAGAGCCGGAGGTACGTCATCTGGGCCAGGTAATTTGTAGCGCTTCAAAAGTTGGAGTTCCTTGCTGAATTCCGCCTCATTTAGTGGATCAGTCGTCACCGGCCATGAAGGGCAGGACAGTCTGACCGATGTTGCCGGAGCAGCAGGCCAGTTGAACTGCTTTTCGAAGAATTCTGCCCATCTTCCAAGACGTCGATGGATGTTGGTGATTGGCATCCCGTCATCCTCACAGATTGTTTCGCTCACACTAAACTTCGTGTTGCCAGTGGCTTGGATGAGTTACAAGAGTTTCCGGTAGTTACCAGATGCAGCTGCTGTTTCCAGTTCATTAGCACGCTCCGACCACCAGGCTTTTCGGTCCTTACGCAAGCTTTGCCCGATTTCGTTACGTAACAGTCGTTGTTTGTGGTCAAACTCACGGTCACCCGGAGTAGACCGACGGGCTTCGATGAGTTGTACGGAGCCTGAAGAAACCCGGTGCTTATAGGCGGGACGTTTCGGGAAGCCCCAAGCGGCTTTACTCGCCATTTTGATGGCGTCATGAAGTTGCGACCAATGCTCATCTATGCTTCTCAGTGGAATGTTAGGTAGCCTTGAACCTAGCTCGGTTTGACATTTAGTTGCAACCAATTTACCGATATCGGTCCGTAAAGTAAGATTAGCGTAAATACGAGGATTATCAGAGTTCTGACAGGTATTCCAAAAGGAGCAGCAGTCTTGTATACAAGCACGCCAGCGGTAGCTGATCGCGATGTGATCAATCTGAGTCCAGGCTTGAGATGCAGAGGGAGTACGCCAGGTGGCACATCGGCGATGACTGTGCCGGAAGTTAGTGCTAGCCAGAAACAGGTTGTGGTCTGCGCACAGTTGCAGTAGACGGTCCCTGATATCTGACCGGTGACCAACAAGTCCCCATCGGCCACCTAAACGATTCTCTTCTGTGCCTAGACGTCCGACCTGAGCACTTAAGTCTCCGGCTAGTACTACAATATCTGTCGAACGCATTTATGTAGAAGAACTGTTAACTAGTGGTTAGACTCATCCTTGATCGCATTCGGGATGCAATCTGTCGAAGCATAGGTGGAGATGACGAAAAGACGTCGTTTCTTACGCCAATTTCTTCTCACTTTGATGGAACCTTTTAATCTAATATTGAATAAAGCCATTAATAATAATAATAATAATAATAATAATAATAATAATAATAATAATAATAAACTCTAATCTAATAGCACATAACTGACTGTTAATGAGGATTCAGTCGATTAGTGCTGCCTCAGCTCTAGCGCTTAGTGCGATACCAACGCCAGCAAGACCAGATGAAGAGGCCACAGGGTCCCCGGATAAACGCACGTAAAACAAGCTTTTCGAAGCGACAGATGTAGAGGGAATATTAGTACTTCACCAGAATCTTGAATATGGGTCTCGGGTAGATAACCAACGTCGATATTAAGACTTTCTGAAGACATAGTCAGCTCTATCTGTTGTCCAGTCTGCATTAGTGTGCGAACGTTGAAGGCAGCCAGTTTGAATGGTACATGTGGTTTCCGAAAAACTTTCGGTATCCGTATTCGGTGGTCGCATTCAGTTTTCGACCAGTCAGTGAGTCAAGATCGTTTAGATGGAACAAAGTTTCCACCATAGGCGAGCTGCGGTATAAGTTGGGAATAAAAGACGGTAGATAAGAGACATAATAGTATATAAAAAAATAAAAATAAATGTGAATTGTTTGACTTTTAATCGAGACGAGAGTAGTATTTTCAGTAATTATCGTCATTTCATTTTCACTTTATTTGTGTATGGGCTGTGATACTGCCTGGGTGTCCAGACTGAAGCAGGTGGTTTTCTCAGGAGGCCATATCCGGAGGCTTTGACCCAAAGGTCCAATCCACAAAGCAGTGGAGCAACGTAAGGAAATGCAGTCCCATGGTAGCCGATGACCAACAATTGGTTCATACGCCATTTGTCCCCTCAGGATCCTGGAACCCATGTGCACCATTGGTTTGGGATCAGGGTTTTCCACCCCCCTAGGAGGATCCTCCGTAATCACCGACCCGGTTAAAGTGCCGGACATTCGCTTTTCGTCCTCTCAATTTCGTAGACAACACCCCTGCCGCGAGAAGGCATTGGTTGTGTGCATGTGGCCATGTGAGAGCATTTAGAGAGAGAGACCGGACTGTCGCCACTATCGGCCGTACCAGGGCATTCGGGGACACTTCACATATCTCTTTTTTTACTAGCACTATGAATTAGCCAAGATAAAATTTAATAATTGATGAATTATGGCTAACAGTGAAATCCGGAACATGCGTTTCTTCTTATTCCCGTCTCAGTATTTAAACTTACCCGCATTCCACATTTGTTCATGTTAATATTCGAACTTTATAACTCCAGCTCGTTATCCAATAATTTATTGGGTCCATGTAGTTACTAATTTGTGCATTGGATATGATGTCTATATCATTATTAGTAAGCTTTCAAGTTATCGCGCTGTTGATAATCAGGACTTAATTTTTGATCGGTTCTTTTTGGTTTATGCGATAGGTTGCAAATGATTCTTGAAATTACAGAGCTCTGATTGCATAATTATAGTGTGTTTTTCTCGTTTAAATATTCTTTGCTATTTTATTACAAGATAGTTTGTAACTGAAAGATGAATTTCAAACATTTTGTAGGTATTTTTTGGATGCACTAAAATTAAAAAATAAGACATTCAAGTGTAATGCTTTAATTGTTTAGTCATTCCATCATATTTCAAGCAGGTAAATTGTATTATTAACTCTCTAAAGTGGACATTTGTATGGATGAACCTGCACTTTCACGACTGATTTACAGTAACATATTATTTTGTGCTATAGACGTTAAGTGTTGTTGTAGACAATAATAAAAATCGTTATTATTACCATTTTGTCACTTATCATTTACAATCTAACGGTTTTTATATTACTAAAATTGTGAGTGTCTTGTTTTGTTTCTTTATATATTTATTGATTTATTGACAAGTTTTGTGTGAAATTAATGAATAAGGTTTGTTTGCACTTAAGAAATCTTATAAACAACTACTTAGTATAGAAAATAACAATTGACTTAGTCGTTGTGGATAGATGTAAGCGGTTAAAGGTAGCTGGTTTTATGTGTTGATTATTGTCAATCGGTTGATCAAGCTATGAATCTTCATCAATTTGTGTTGCACATGCATTCATGTCTTCATCAAAAAGGTAAGAGTAGTTTCGGAAATACTTAAGTAAGTCTACTGTTATGTTTTGCATTTATCTGATTTAAATACCCATACACACGCTTTCGTACTTTTTTGCGAGTTGACAGACTAAGAAACGGTTGTTTTTGTTGTTGTACACAATTATATGTATCGAACCCTCTAATCTAACCAAGAACATATACCGTGACTAGGTGAATAGTCTGTTTTATTCATTAGCTTACTTTGTTTACAATCGCTCACCACACCGTTTGGCCTTGAGATAGTGTGTGAACATAAGCAATCGATATGTTTGGATTTACTCAGCCCATCAAATTGCTTCAAGAGCCACGTCAGTAAGTGCAGAATTCCTGACTGAAGATACTAAATAGAACACAGATCAAACTTATCAAATTATATGACTGATATAACATTCTCTACAAAATCAACAGAATAAGCAAATATTGACTGGATAAATTGATTTTAAATAATTGTAGTCATTATCTCGCGTCTCACATCACTTGGTATATCCATGTTGGTTCGTCTTTTAAGGAGTATGGTTCCTTAACAAACAGTAATTATTTCTATCTTTTTTATTCATTGGATGAAAAAGCCAACATATGTATCTCATTTTGATAAACAGGTTATGTATAAACTCTAGTTCCTTCTTTTTAGGGTCAGCTGATTGCAGTAGCCTAAGGGTCATTGAGTCGCCATCCAATAATCTCTACACGGTCTAATGCTAGGTCAACTTGGAATCTAATATGATAGTTATCTAAACATTGATATTGATAATTATCACTAGTTTTGCTCGTGGAACAATGATTGAACTCAACTAATGGCACGACTTCCCAATAAAACATTGAAAATCTATTTCTCATCTCGTCAATAGTGCATTCACAATTATTAGTTAGTAGTGGATAGTAGTCTCTGGAAATCGGCGCAGTTTTTGAAAAAAAAGAGCCGAAGCCAACTGTTTAATGCTCAGTGATTTTCACTGATTCTCCAGCTAAAGTGATAGTCTCTGATGAAAACTGTCAGCCACTTGCAATCAATGTAGATAGGGCTCGGCATAAATATGAGTTAGACCAAGTTGCCATATCACTTCATTATGGCTAGATGAAATTCTTCATAGTACTGTAAAAGCAATCGAAATAATATAATGGGACTAATTATAGCAGAAAAACATTAAGAATATAAGGTTTGTAAAGACGGAATAAAATATATGCTTGAAGCTAAAGGACTATCTTCAAATTCAACTGATCTTCACAAGATTATTGTATGATGAACACCAAAGATGACCTATTGCACCACCACTCTATAAGAGAATTGAATTTGTACAGAACTTCCGAAAGCCCAAGTTTGTTTTTAATAATTCATTTTGACAGAAAAAGATAAATCGAACATCAAAGCTTGGTTAGTCACAATGAATACATGAGCTTAAATTGATTACTATCAGTCCAAGGCACTATACAACAAAACATTAGTAGCAAGACAATTAGTAAATGGAGTCAAATATTGCTCATTGTAGTTCAGCTGTTCCGACTTTGAACGTTTGCTATCGCATTGTCAGTACTGTGGAGACATTCACCACGTAGAAGCAACAAGTATAACTTTCCTGGTAGAGACTTTCACTGCGAAGCAGTATGGAAGTAAAAAGCCGACAGCTTCTCACTCACCAGGATATATCTAATCTCATATCATTTTCGATTTGGAAGCAATATTTGTAGAAAGAAAGTTTTTCATCTAGTTTCCTTATTGTTGTCATCAATACTTTTTGGTTTGTTGTTAAAAAAAATTTCTAGATGGGATTTAATTGATCATAATTTCACTGATGTGTCATTAGATTTCAATTTTATACGAAATCATTTACTGTCTGCTGAAATGGTTCATGGTGGCAGTAATACTTATTCATATGCTGAAAATTATTGTTCACATATACACGATGGAAAAACACAATCTACCAAATTCGGATGTTATATCAGTATAAATCCACCGATGTTTGAGGTATCAACAATTCTCATGTATTATTTTCTTAATATTCTGCATTGATTATTTCTTTATTGGGTTATGTCTTGCGGCTAGTGGAACACCGAACTATTGACCCAATATTCTCTTTTATCCACGTACTTTGGTTTATTTGACCGCCAGTGGTATCATCAGCTCTGTCACACTTAGAAGTATGACTGAAACGTGATTACATTTACCTGTTTTTAACAATTGAGTTAACAATTAACAATCAAATCATGATTAATATGAACGCAGGATAATAATAAAAACTAAATTATATACAATGTGCTATAATTTTATTTGTTTATTTAATAAAAATCTATGTGAAGTAGGATTGTTAAATGGTTGTTGGTAGTCGACCAATAATCTTGCTTGACTTATTATTCGTATTACTTCTCACTCGTCACCGAGGCATCATCTGTAATCTCGAGGAGACGGATTACTTTCTATGAGATCGGAACCTTTGTATCACCCTATTTCACAGTGTGCGAGACGTTACTATTGAGATGTTCAGGCTGCGATTCAGCTCCTGTAAGAAAAATATTTACAACTGACTGATCATTGAATAATAGCCATTACCATGTTTTTCCAGTCCTTCTAGTCCCGATTGAATTCTATCGATTAATCTGCAGTATAGTGTTACTAGTCTGAGTGACTCACATGGACTACGTTTTGGTGTTAGGTTGCACACTCTATTTCATGCCACTTAGACTGTTAGCTATATTACAACTGGATCGTTAGAATTGGCTCAGTCCTAAAAATCCAAAAGAAGCCTTTGACATAATAACTTTTATTTTTAAAAGTAAATATTCCTCATTGTTATAATTTTTAAAAAAAATTAAAATCAAAGTTATTTTTTACGACGGATCAGAATCAATTGGTATATTTTTTGAAGAAAACGCAAAGCATCGGATAACTATTTGCTTGTGGTTTTTAAAGTGCCCAATAATGCATGTTCAATAGTTCATATAAAACTTAAATTAACTAGATTTACCTTTAAGTTCATCGTATTTCATTGATGCATGTATCTTTATTATTACCAACCTATTTGATTCCTTGGATCACTCCAATTCATAAATGCCCTGGGTTGTATTATTAGAAGAATAGTTAGCCGATAAGAACGAACAAGTCGCTTTAAAATGATGTATCCAACGGAATGTTGTCTGTCAAACCTAGGCGATCCGTTTTAGTAACGAAAACATCGTTAGATGCTTAAGGTTGGGTTTTAAATTGGTATTTAAGGTTAGAGCTAAGACTAGAATGAGTTTGGAGTTCAGACATAAGATTAGGGTTTACATGGACTAGTCGTAAAACCTTCTCCTAATCCTAATCTTCAGTCAACATCCTTAATTTTAAACTGTACATCTCAATCATAGATCGTTAACTCCTAACTCTAATCTTAAAATGTAAATCTTAGTCCTAACATTAGATATCGTTCATTTATACTTGCTGTCTACCGATTGTTTAAATGAGGTCAAGAATTCAACAAGGTCACTTAGGTAGCTGTTTAAGTCTTGTCCTTATAGCTCACATTTACTTTCAATTACTTGTAAAGAGTTGAAGATGTGAAATGGAATTCCTCAGTCTCAATACTTTGTCATTTTCGTCGGTTTTCCAAAAGACATTAGTCTATGATGAAAATCATATTAAAATAGAAATAATCAACATATACCATGGACACAAATGTAAGATATATTGAAAATACATATCATTCAAAACAATACATGGATTTTATAAGTTGGTTATATATAATACGTGTTCAGACGAAATGATCTCAGTCTGAAAATATTACTCTTGAATGTAACTTCACCTTCTAATAAAATAAATAACTACACAATCCATTCAATTAGTTCCCTTTATGAATTTAAATAAAGCCGGAACAACTACACATTTTGTTACATGTTATTTTTTAAGCTCAATTATTAACAATTTACTGTATGAATGTGACAATAATAATAGTAATAATTTATATTTATATGTTTTAACTGTGGTCTTAGTTTACCATTTAAACTTCAATGGAACAATTCATTTACAGGTAAGTAGTTAATTACAGTTTGATAATAAATACGTTAGTACTTCACTGGAACTAATTCATCATCGTGATGCTCATTTTTGTTCATGAGATAATAAACATCGGCATTGAATTGGTGACTGAATGATCGACTCAAAACTCTAGATGGGCGGGATATAAGCATTGGATCCTATAATTTTATTCATTTATAGCTTGTTATTTTGTTATGTCGTTGAAGGTGATAAAAACACATCAATAGATGTACTTGAGTTTTTATTAAAACCATGAATGGATCTATGCTAGACAACTATTAAAAACCTAGAAGCACTAGACGGCTGTCTGGTTCCAGTATGAAACGCCTCACAGTACACATGCACGATCACTCACACGGAACTTGAGTCTAGGACCTTCGGCTTCGAATTTCAAATTGGTCATATCATTGATTGGCATTATTACTTAATTAAACATCATTGCTATGTCTCAATAGGCATCATCTTCCGAACATTAGGTTATCCTGTTGATCATTTCGTTGATTTCTCACAAACTACTTTTCTTTGCTTACTTAATTAACTCATAAACTATAAAATTCAATAATCGTCATAAAAAAATTAAACTAATAATTATACTCTCACTAGTGAATAATTTCGAAAAGTAGTTTCTGGAGTTTTAATGTGTAACCGTGACCAGTGAAATCCAACCATTATTGGGTGTGATGCTGTCAGTTGCGTAGTATCACAGATTAACTGAAGTTAAATATATGTCATTGAATGTTGTCTAACCACTCTGGAGATCAACGCGAGATCTGCAGGTCATTTGTCCGATCCGCTATCGGGTCGTAAATGTGCATTCCTGATGAGTTTTATAATACAACACGACAGTTGTCCACTCCTTTCTGGTTTTCAATAGTCACCTAAGATCGGTCTGTAATATAAACTCATGATTTGATTACACTATAAATTTGAGTTAGTGAATTTGAGCAGTTCAAATATTATCTATTTCATGTCCCCATTTTTCTACTTTTGAAATAGAATTGTTCTCTAATTCAGTGCCTACATTCAGTTCCTACAGCTGGACAATCTTTTCATTGGTCTAGTGGAATCATGCTGTTTATATTCATTACTGTATGTTGTATATTCAGTATCTACCTGTTTCGACGTATCGGTATTCATAAATGTATTAAAATTCGACGACGTTATCAGCCATTCGATAGGTATCGTACATCACGTAAACGTAAAACAACATTATATCTTGGCAGCACAACCAGTACCACCGATATCGTGAACAATATTCATAATAATATCAACGAAGCCGAATCGTCATCGACAACTGATGACATTCCTGATAGTTTTCTGTCATCTGAGCCGCCAATCAAACGAACTGATGTTCATAATAATGATAATCTCACTTCGTTGCAAATTAGTGGACCAAGAAAGTTGAATAGTAGTAATGGTAATAATATGGTTTTTCCAACTAAATCAAATGATAAATTTACATTGTCAGCTTTAAACTTAAGTCGTACCGCTGCTTCAATTGGTTTTATGAATCCTATCTACGTACCATTGAACGATAAATATGCAGAAGATAATTATGATCCAGAGCCAATAAATTAAATCATCATTCGTACATTTTCTTGGTTGTTTATCTCTAAGATAAACATACAAATAAATAAACAGAAATATACGCGTATATTTTCCATGTCCATATCACAGTTTCAGTCTTTCGGTTATTGAATAAAGTAATTGTCAAAAAAATTTCCTGATGGTACATAGTAAATTACTCGATAACACCACTTAATTTTTTACGTTACCATACAGTAATCATCATTGTTTATGTTTCATTGCGCTTATTATGTTGCTTTTGTGCCTTTTTTGTGAATGAATATGTCGATATGAAAATATGAAACGACTTTATTATTATTGTTATTATTATTACTATTAATGTGCAGTAGGCTCACTCCTTTTTTGCACTGCCAGTGTAATCAGATCTGCACATTCCTTTTCTGATTTCATGAAAAGCTTTTTTTCTCAGTTTCGTTATCCTCCTCACCCATTTCTCCTTCTTTGGGTGTGTGTATTTTTCTTGCCTACCAAGGCGAAACTATTGCTATCGTTTTTCTTGTCCCTCGTACCCTGCCTTTCTAGTACTCATTCAACGTCTTTCTCATATATATATATATATATATATATATATATATATATATATATAATACACATGCGCCCCTGTTCACTCACTCAGATAACTGAGTAGAACAGTTTCGCTCACATAACTCATGTATTCCTTTTTCACATTATTGTTTCCCACCATCATCCGTCTCTTCTGTTTAATTTATTTGGCTGTGCTGCATACCATTAGATAAGTAATATATTTTTGTTGAACTACTGAAATTATTGTATTTACTAATACAACATTCTGAACTCAGCAACTCACGAAAATTGCTGTTATGTTTAGTGATAGGTGTTTAATGAGAAAAAGAATCTCACGTTCAATCAAATACCTTCTAGCTGTGTTCAAATGAAAGGTTAGCTGAAGTGTTGAATATGTATTCAGCCGTGCGAATCAATACTTTTCCAATTGCTGATAAATAAGAATTTCAGAAGCTTAACTGAGATATCTTTAAATCGTGAAATAACTCATCATTGACATGCTGTACATAGTCAGATTTAAGCTAAATACTTCCTTTGACATCTGGTGCATCATGAACAAGGTGAACTCGTTATTAGAGGTGTGTGGGTGATCCTTGCGTCTTGGTCACGTAAATTGCGGATTTGGCCTGACAATTTCATCTTGCTGTGCTAATGGGGTATGGCAGTTTGAACCAATATACATACGTACACCTTGCGACTGACAATGCGGAAGAATACTTCTTGAGGTACCTATAAACAAAACTTGTTTTGTAAGTAGTCTTTCTGACAATAAATGGTATCTACAGAGGCAAAAGGATAACTAATCGAGGCCAGTCACACTTTTTTTTCAAGTGGTCCTTGTTGCGTTAGCTCCGTACTTTTAAGTTCTTACTCCTGACAATCGAAGTCCGTGTTGCAAAGGGAATTATGGTATTTCCTGAAACTACGTTTTTAACCCGTTCTTTCCATTGTGCGAAGGCAGATACTTACTTCTGAGTGAAGCGTGTTACTGCCATCACACTACAGAACAGTTTGATTTCGCCTTCGGCCCACGAGTTTTTTATTTTGCCACTTTCAAACTGAGTACTTTGGTATGGTAGAAATTTTTGAAGTTGATGTTGTGGCACATTGTTGTTTGGTTGGATCACCCCGATATGCAAACTCGACCCACAATTTAAGATAGCAGTTATGCTCAAGCCATCTATACTCACCATCCTTGGGACGTGAGTTGTATAGTGATTTATTTCATTGTTTCCTTAACTGACTCCAGTTAATGATGAAAATGAACTAGAAAAACCTTGATATTTATGATGTGAGAAAACAATGTTACTGCGTATATTCTTCTTTATAAACTGCATTAAATGCTTAAATATCTTGTGTGAGCTTATTATTTAACTATATCAACTGATATGACTCATACATTGCATTCTAAAAAAATACATTTGTATATGAAGTGTGCCGTTTTTACATCTTGTTTTTCGAGAACTGTAGTTTTGTGGATAATCCAACAAACAAAAGTACTCATTTATTTAACTTCAGTTTAGGAATTATACTAACTATAATATTTAGTGAAAGGAATTTCGCAACTACAATAAATATTGACTTGTGATCCGAGATAAGACGTTTTGTATTTAAAAATTATTTCAATTAAACTATTTAGGTTATTTGGTTTAACTGGACTGAATTTTTTTGGAAAGCTACCTTATAAGCAAACGTATATCGTCAAACGGTGTGGTGAAGGTGATTTATATATAAACTATATTTTTAATTAAGCGACTAAACTAGCTTACCGAGTTGAGGTTAATCTCTCGACTTCAAGCAAGTCACGTTATCAAGGTTTTGACCTATTGGTCAGAGAGTTAAAATTTATACTTAGTCAGACTTTTGATGTATATTGCTAAGTAGTCTGAATAATTCCAGCGAACCAATTTTCGTAATGATTGGCTAGTGACCGTGAATGCTTTTGTTATCATGAACAAAGACTTGCTTGATTGCAGTTCACGTAAGATACGGAATTGATTGTTTCCCAGTTGCTTATAATATGCGATCACATTTCTGTTGTAAAGGGTGGACTGCAGGTTTTGATAAGCAGCGTATTTATTGACCGATTACAGTGGACACGCAAACACGTAGTGGACGACCTAGTGCCCTGATTGGACCTGCTCCGCTGTCTGTCCTAGCCAGTTGAGTCAAGAACACAAGTCACAGCCTCTGAGTTATGAATCATTGTATTTCAGACATACTCTATTTATATACCAAACAAACAAACCACATCGTACCATAAAATAGAAAACAACATTTACACAATATTTAACAAGTGAAATAAACATCGACCAATAGGAAATGTACATTTAAAGCCCAAGGCCACCATAGACTTGACACGATAATTATTGGTATATTTTTCCGACTATCCTAACAATCTCAAAAAGTAATTTCGTAACATAGTAAATTAGTCATATCTACTGTCTGTAGATGGTTATTTTTATGATATTGTAGAACTTCCTTTAATACCATAAGTTATTGATTGGTCGAGTATATTACTCAGTACACAAATCCGACTGTTAATCAGTGTAGAACACTTCGATTTATTCTGGATGTCAAGTACATTCTTATATATCGTCTTCGTGTTTCTACGTATGCGGCGCATTTAACGAGTTCAATGATCCAGTATTAGTTATATCCCATTATAACTATCGCTACCGTGTTTTGTAGAGTGAAACAAACCTGCAACCAGTTTGTGATTTCAGTATCAGCCAATTCAACTGCCTCGCAGTTATAATATTTCCGAACTGTAAATTTAGGTGGACTTAGTTGTATTTCCTATTCATGCCTAAAACGCTTTCCACGTCGCTGTTGTATATTTGTTAGGGTAACTTATTTTAATGATTCAAACCTCAGAGTATTTATCGTAATATTTATTTCTGTTTATGATGGAACTGATATTCCTTGCTATCGTATAACGTGTGTTACAAAGCTTATAGTAGCTGCTAACTTGATTACTAAGTAATGGCTAGCAGTGTAATCAAGTTATCAGGCGTCATTTAATTTGAAACGTCACCTAAAATTGCCTACATTCCATCATTGCTACTTAAACCGAGACCCAAACATAGCACTTTGCGTTGCAAGCGCCAACGCGTTATCTACTGAGTCCAGATAACCACAAGCATGTAGAACGGGTTTGAACGTTTATTGGTTAGGGTTTGTATTTCCTTACTGTCGACATTACGGGCAGTAACTGATTAATCTTGGATCTCCATATTACCATCAACACTGAGATCTAGGTACATCCTGAAGATGATTCCCACAAAAGATACTCATCTCCGAAATTCCGTTGATAGCCAATGTCCAACTTAAAAATCTTGTGGATAAATGACTCTATCAAACTAATTTGCAATCCTAAATATAAATAACCGGACGATACAAACCTTCATAATTATTTGATCTAGTTATTTGTTCCTTCATTAAAATCACACAAATTTGTAAGTGAAAACAGTTTGTAGTGCATTCTGAAATAATAGGTGATATATAATTATTATGTTAAATAATTAAGTAATCCGAACTATTTTACAACATAGTGTAGTATATTCTGGAAATCTACAAATTTATAAACACATTGAGCCTAATATCAGAGGCTTTCTATAGGCTTTAACTACTTGTGTACTATTAAATTGACATTATTTTCCTTAATGTAATTTACAGTATGTTGTAAACGATCTTATCGCTTAATAAATATTAGTAGCACAACTCAAAATATACTCTAAAAATTCACACATTCATTTCACTTTTGATTATCAATTGGTATTTCTACTTTTATCTAAATGTGTACTGTCAACTTCTCAATGTGTAGCTATCTTAGTTCATTTCCACAACGAATGAATTATAAAGCTGTGCTAACAATTATTCAAGTAACAAATTAGAAATTCTAAATTGGTGTGACAAAGTAATTTTCATAGAGATTAAACTAATTATCTAAACAGAAGACGAGTCCTTTACTAATTATGATTATACATATTAACATAGTGTCGTTTAAATAATGAATAACTAGCAAAGAAGTAATAAATTGTGTTATACTTTTCTTAGTATTTAAACAGTCCTTATCGTTCTAAACAAAGTGATTCATCATTCAACTATCATATGCCTGTATATACATAAATGTTAGCTGCATCACTCCATAAAAAATAGCAACAAAGTGAAACCTATTTGCAACCCGATATATTTGACCTTCTTAGTCGTTGACTGGTAATTGTACGGACTTATGATTCCTTTGTACTTGAATGCGCACTGGTTACGAATTCAGAATATAATAGGTTCATTTATAATCATCTAGTTCTACCTGCCTTAAAATGCACAATTTCAGGAACTCCTGGTTAGTACATTAACTTAAATATTTCCAACCATCATATTGACATCACAGAAGAAGCTAGGAATCGGTCGTTTTGATATAGCATATTTAAGAACTTTGACCTAGCCAAATTTCATCGTGTATTTCTTCTTGACAGTTCATGTACACCAACTCGTTTACTGGATAAAGAATCTGAATTGTAATGGAACATAACAAATTACTAAGCTTCCCCACTTTTTTCTAAGTGCTTCATTCATATCAAAGTCGTTACACAAAAGCATTGTTGATACACTTATTCGAAACAGGACTCTAGCTCTTTTTCGACAATTCATCTGAAAATGTTTGAGTTGTAATAAGGAAAATATTGACAAAACGTAGATTGAATTTCTTTACATCTTTCTTCATTTTGACTGTAAAATACCATTTTTGACCAAACGATAGTTTATGAGCTAACCGTTCGACAGATGTTTTTTTATATCTGATACCATTTGAATTCACAGTGAAGTGAATTTTTTATTCAGCCTTCTTCCTGATGCACACAGGTTTTACAACAAAACCTTACTTTATATACAGTGAAAATAATTCTTTACCTATGCGTTTCTTCACATTTGACTGCATTTAATCTCGTTTTCGGTTAATTTTTACATAAACGTTAACAAAAATGCTTGAACGACTTTGATTCCTCTTTCATGTTAACTTAGAGATTCAATAAGTTAGGCATTTCGGGTGGCTTGACGGAGTATTATTCATGGGTAACAGAGGCAATACAGGACAAACATGACAAAACCAAACACAAGTGAGTATCTGTAAATTTTGATAGAGTTTTCAAAAAAAAATAATAAAACGGCAAAAATACGACCATCAAATAAACAAACCCTAAAAGAAGCATTATAAGGCAAAAGGTACGATTGCCATTATCACGAACATTCGAAAACCAAGTTAAAATAAACGCTTATGGCTCATCCGTTTAAATGTGACAATCAGAAATATGATGATTAGTACTCCTGAAGAACACGTTTAGGCCGAAGATAAAACATGTTTATTGTGGAAAGGTATGAGGTACAAATAATGACCACGCTCGTAAAGCTGAACCATTTCATTCAGATCAATTATTCCGGCGTTTACCATTACCAAACTTCTCTCCGTGTTAAATGATGAATGAGAATTTTCCTAGTTGTCTTATGTTCAGAATTGAGTATCGTGTGGTTAGAGCCAGTGCTACTACACTACTCTCCTATCAGAATCAACGTGACATTGGTTCGATGGAAAGTCGAATAAAGCGGCAGCAACTAATCGGGAAATATGTATAATAATTCCAAAATATTTGGTTTATTGCTTAGCACACCTAAAATGAAAATCCGCATGAACATGGTTTAGACTTCAAGTAAAGTGGGATATTTTAACAGGTCATATTAAGATTCATGGTATTAACCGTTGGTTAACAGCTTAATTTGTGGGTAGTATAAGTACTTTGTGCTCATACAAAGGGTAACGATCAATATTATAGAAAATTTGGTGTTAGTACTATCTTTGGTTTAAATTAGGTCAGTCAATGTTTATTTCGGTATCCTGTCTGTATGAGTCTATTCCCAATCGCATCTAGAAACTTTTACAATTACTTACAGTGATGGTTGAGGATCAGCAAGCGGGAAATTGGTACTGTTATTTGAGGTCATTCGGAAATATCAGAAGTTTGTAGCATAATGGGATCCGAGCTGCCTGATTATACTGCAAATTACGATCCAGAAATACTTTTTCACTTAGTGTTAACTTTAGTGGTGGGCTTCAGAGTCCTTATTCTGAACGCTTGGATGGCTAACGAATACGCGACAACTTAGTTATTATTTCAGTGCAGTACACTAATATATTGATGCGATAACTTTATCATCTGAAACATGTTTAACGTCTTTTGGGCCAACTAACAGCCCCATTTATGAACCCAAACAGAAATAGCAATAACGACTATGATGGCTTTGTTGTTCAATTCAAATGTCGCTGAGATAATATGATGTGATGGATGTACGTTAATGAGTAGTCTAACGAATTAAGAAAACTTGACAGAAAAAAATTAAAAGTTGAGACATGACTTGTGGGACGACAGCTGGGAACATGACTATTATAACAGAATTTTCATGCGTGATGTCCACAGCTAATTTAATAACATTCA